CCCAGCTTGATGATGGGATTGCGGTCTTCTTTGATTTGCTAGTGACTCTGCTCTAGTATTTGCCTTTTCCTTGTTAGTCTCTCTGACTTCTTTCCTCTGCCACTGTAACGTTGTCATGAAAATGGAAAAGAAACCCTGAGCAAAATTTTTTTAAAAAAAATTTTTATTCCCAGTGAATACAAAATTAGGTGGGAGGCTGTGAGAGAGACTGTAAAAAGTAGGAACTTTCATATTGTAAAGCATATAGATTGACAGTTTGACAATCCAAAATTGGGTAGTAGAAATTCAAATTTGCTAGCTCAAGACGAAGCCAATAATGCATCCTTACAAGCTTAGACAGCTTCAATAAAAGCCGTATGTAAATTTTTTTTTTTGGGCATTAAGCCATGAACCACAAGTTTGTGAGAGGAGCCAAGATGGAGCCGTGATATGGAACTGGCTTGGGGGAAGAGATTTATATGATATATTGATTTAGTATTGGGACGTTCTCTGTTAATGTGTTCTCCTTTTAGTTTTTTTTTATTAAACAGATTAAAATCAGTACCTTTAAATTGAAAAATTCACATTTATTTTTTTTTAATTTGTGATTGAAAATAACTATTTTAACGTTGTGACTTGTGACCATGACAAGTTGGGTTCCAACTTCCAAGCCCTCTTATGGCGGATGCTTGTTGCCTTACTTAGCATGTTGGAGCACGTTCTCTTTGTTTTGATCTTTGCTGGACATTAAATATCTTATAACTCGTGGAATTTGAATGGGTTCGTATGGATAAACATGAGCAATGTAAACCCCCCTCCCATAAGGAATGTAAGTTACGTATTATCTTGGATCCTAATTATAAAACCTCATTTATAAACTATGAATAAAATCTTATAATTAAGAGTGAAGATAATATCAAGTTATCAACCATATTTATACAATACTGGGATATAAAATCCCAGCCTCCTTTATAAAGAAGAAGTGTGTAGTGTAATTAAATCAAAAGGTTGTTAGCACGCAGAGAGACAGACTCCTGAAAAGATATTAAAAAAAAAAATTGAGAGTTTTCTCTTCTGATATTTTTTTTTTGGAAAACTGGCAACAAAAGACTGTCGAAATTAAAAAAAAAAATTACACACAGGAACTGGTTTATAAAAATTGTTATCAAAACTCATATTATTATTGTTAAAACCCATATTAATGTTGTCATATGTCCTTGTTTGTAATTTTTCTATTTTAGCAGTTTTCTTGGCCATTTCCCCTATGTTTTTCCTTTAGTTTTCTTGCTATTCAGGTCAAGAGGAATAGTTTGCATTACATAGTACTGTTTACTTTCGCTAAGCTGGGTTCTTGTCTTGCCATGTTTCCATGTTAACATGTCTCTCAATTTTAATTTTATAAATAGAATTAAAGAAGTAATGCTTATCTTTCATGTTTTGGTTTCAATTGTTATGTTGCTTAGTATTATCATTCGTGTCTATGTCACCTTGCGCTTTCAAAATTAGGACGGATGTGATTGTTTTTATAAATTTCGATTTGAATTTGTCTTAATCTTTTATGTATTTTTTTTAATTTTGTTCTTAATTATTTATTGTCTCTCATTTGACATACTCTCTCTTATTACATTTCCCTACATATTCTCTTTTATTTTTTCCTCACTTATTATAAGAATATATTTGGAAACAAAAATATTTTCAACATATTTATTACTTTAAACTGGTTTTAACTAATTATTTATTATCTATAAATTAGTTATTTCAAACCTATAAAAAGAAAGAGAGCTAAGGATATGTTTCTATAATATATTTCACCCGTATAAAGCAAATATATGAAAAGACAGGGATCTAGAAATAATTTTTGAGGACAACTCTACCTCCCCAAACTTTTTAGGTCATATATATGCAGCTTATTTTGAATCATATACATCAGAAATGTTATGATAATTTATTAAGGGGTACTTTTATAATATTACTATCTTCAATCCTAATTATAAGATTTTGTTTATAAAATATAAATAAGGTTTTATAATTAAAACCGGAGACAGTGTTATGTATATTGAGTTAATAATCTCTCATCCCTCTTTTTTTCCAAAATTAGTTGAGACAAAAACTAGGAGCATTTTTTCCATGTGCGACACAAAATCACATCATTCATATATTGTTTAAAACCAGTTACTCCAAATAAATATAGAAAGTGCGGAAATATATTGTAGTTAAAAAAATGTTTTAAAGGTCATAAAGTTACAGAGAAAATCAAAATAATTGGAAAAAAAACTGATTTAGGAACTACATACAGCATGAATTAGTCCAACATGGCCCAAAAAAAAAAAACAGCAATTGAATCTTCCATGATAACGTTATAATCACTGGCTAATCAATAGACGTGGGCAAATTGGCGTACGTTGCTGTGAACCTTGATCCGAATTTGAGTGAACGCATAAATGAGGTTATATCCATCGTTTTGGTCAACAACTTGAAGCATTCTCTTTCATTTTAAATACAAGTAACCAGTATATACTTTACAAACACACACACACGTGTGTGTTTAAAAAGATTAGTCTAGAGTAGTCTCCCTTATTAAATCTGTACAAAAAAAAAACACAGTTATTTTCTAAATTTGTCCCTAATTTAATGGTGAACGACCTCCTATAGTAAATTGAAACCCAGTGTATGCGCTTATTTTTTCAGATGTGACACAATGTATAAGACTAGTCATGGTATAAAACACATGAAACTTTTGGTTTATTTTGCAAACCACGATTTTTGTTTTTTTAATTAAATGAACAAATACTAATGGTTTGAAATTACAAATAAGATCGTTCGAATTCAAAGGTCTCATTTGATACAAAATATTAAAAATAAGAGATAAAGATTATAATTATAATTAAAAAAAATTTATTAAAAAAGTCTTTAACATGAGTAATTACTTATTATATGGGATTACACATACACATAGGGATAGGATTGGGGAATACCACTTCTCCCCGTGGTTTTCTTTAATTCCACATACATAGGTTTGTCTAATTTTGTATAATAAGCAATCTCTCATATTAAACACTCTTTGAATAGATTTTTTAAAAATTTTAATCATAATCCATATTCCTCATATTCAATGTTTGGCGCCAAACGATATCATAATCTCTTATTTTAAAGAAAATTTTACATGTCATTGTCCTGATACATCTATCTATCTATCTATGTATGAAATATCAACAAAGTAACGTGCTACGAGATTAGGTGATTTGGATGTTGAGAAAGTAAAAAGTTTTTAGTAACTATCGGATATAAACTCACAGAAATCACATGCAATCCTACCAAAGTTTCCAGAGCCACCGTTAACTTGTAATCAAAGACCAAAACCCCCAAATCAAGCGCCGGGCCAACACGCGACCATGGGCTATAAGATTCAATGCACGAAGACACAAATTTGAGATTCATTGAATCTGGTCATTTTGTCACTTTTTTTTAATACTACCTCTGGTCCTAATTATAAGAGTTAGTTGACTAATCTCAAGAGATTAAAAAAATTAAGTTAGTTATTTGTCATAAATAGATGTTGTCTTTCCTAAAATATCCTTACTAATCAAGTGTATTGGTTAGAACTACTATTGTTAGAAGAACTATTTTAAAAAAATACATAAATATTAGAGACAAGATGGATTGCGATCTTATATTTAAAACTAAAATAAAAGTTAAATAAGATCCTATATTAAAGACCGAAGATAGTATTAACGTTTATCCTATAATTATTTGGCCATTTGCTTATGGCTCTTTCTTCGAGCCTTCGGTTTTTGGCTCATCGATGGCTGCTCCAATGATTCTCACTGTTCACGGCGCCCAGTTTCCGCGTCACATCGAATGACGTGGGGACCCACACATGAACATTTCATGTGCTCATTTTTCGGGTCAAAATATACACCAAGATTATTGTGGAAAATGTACGAAATTACAATCCCATAAAATAATTGATTCGCGTTCTTGGAAATTTTATTAAAGCTTCGTACACATAAATTCATTTTATATTTAGAAGTTAATGACCTCTTTTGAACTAACAAATAGTTTGTTTTTTTTTAAATAAGAATATGTCTTCTGATGACTATTTCGCATTAATTAAATAATGACATATGAGTATATGACTCTAGTTGGGATTTATTCAACTACATAAAGATCCGAAATAAAATTACCTTCACCGAAATACCGTGGCCCCAACATCACCGCAAACCAAAAATGCAATAACTAAAATAAATGGCCGATCACTTAAATAATGACAGCATCAAATTTTAACTGGACTTTAGGAATACGCTAATAAAAACAATTGAGGAATGGGAATGAAAGTCACTTCCAAATATAAATAAAATAAAAGATACTCCTCCGGTCCTAATTATAAGACCCAATTGACTTATTTGAGGAGATTAAGGAAGTAAGTTAAGTTGGTTATTTATAATAAATAAGTGTTGTCATTCCTAAAATATCCTTGCTAATTAAGTATATTGGCTAAAACTATCATTATTAGAAGGATTATCTTGGAAAAAAATGCATAAATATAAGAGACAAAATGGATTGGGTCTTATAATTAGGACCAAATAAAAAGTCAAATTGGGTCTTATAATAAGGATCGGAGGAGTACTATAATTAGAAAAAGGCCGAGATAAATAGATAATTATATTTTTTTTTTTCCGGCAACAAGTGAGTAGGGAAGTGCTGAAAACTTGAAACAGATTGACTCTAGTTAATATTAGTATATTCAAGCAAATCAACCCAAATGTGCCAGGGCACAAAGGGAAAACTGAACCGGGACGGTTGTCTGGCTAGATCCTTCAAAGGATGTCGTAATTTGGTCTCTATACATTCTGGCAGCAATATTTAACTAAGACCGCTTGCAGATAAGTGCAAAGTATAAATACGGCGCCGTTTCTCTTCTCATTCTTACTCCATCATGAAATCATCTATCGCCATTTCAACGACATAGCGCCGCTCAATAATGTCCGCCACCTTCTGAAGGAAGTCACGGAAAATTTTCGAACTTTTACACAATTCTCGGTTCCCCTGATAGAAAAGAGAGAGAAAAAGCGAAAAGGGTCTGTTCTTTTCCGTGTTTTTTGCGAGGGAGAGGAAATTTTCACTTGATTGTGAAGATGATGGCGAGGATTCGGGTGAGGTTTGAGAGAGTGGCAGCGGCGTTCGACGCCGACATTGCACGCCTGAGGCTGTGCGAGAGCAGCGGGAGCGATCACTCGCCGGAGAGCTCGAACACTGATTTGTCCGATCTCGTGAAGTCGTTCATGGAGAAGAATGAAATGGAAGGAAAAGAGGAGGTGCTTGGGGTTAAAGATGACGGTGAAGAGGGCGAGGATCTGTGTGATGTTGATAAAGACGAGTGGTCTGGTTCTGGTGAGAAGAAGGAAAAGCTGAAGAGTTTATTTGAAGGAATTGAAGTTGACGAAGATGATCGGAATGTGAAAGAGAAGATTAGAAGACAAATTGAAGCTATTTATGGGTCTGTCGGAGACAAGTCGTCGCCGGGATTCAAACGGAGATTAATGACTCGATTGCGGGAGAAGGGCTTTGATGCTGGTGAGTTCTTTTTTGTTTTTGTTTTTAATGTGAACATTGCATTGCTTAATTTCCTCTTTTTTTTTTCCCATAGGAAAATGAGAGATTTCAATTTCGCTTATAAATATCTGGAGTGTTTTTGGTTTTTCTGCGTGAATCATGTCCACATAGAATATAAAACAGATTTTATTAGAATATGGTGGGTATCTTACGAGGAATCACTTGATAAGGAATCATCTCCATGTTCAGGGCTTTGCAAATCCAAGTGGGACAGAACCTCGAGATTCCCAGGAGGCGACTACGAGTACACAGACATAAACATGGGTGGAAAGCGTTTCATAGTAGAAGTGAATCTCGCTGGAGAATTCGAGATAGCTCGTCCGACGAACTACTATTGCTCTCTGCTTCGTCATTTTCCGGTGATCTTCGTTGGAAAATTAGAAGAGCTGAAGAAGATTGTGAGGCTGATGTGCACCGCCATTAAAGCTTCCATGAAGAGTGTAGACCTCTTCGTCCCTCCATGGAGGAGACACGGCTACGTGCAGGCCAAGTGGTTCAGTTCTTACAGGCGGACAACCAACGAGGTTTCAACTAGGAAAGACGACGTTATACCTCGGAACGAGGATGTTTCTCCAAGAAGGTCCATTATTAATGGATTTGAAGCAAAGTTTGTAAAGGCATATAATTGCAGGGATGACTATGGGAAGACAAAACCTGGTTTCAGAGTTGGACTTCTGGCTACTGCACTGAACTCATGATGAGTATAACAGATTAATGGTGAAGTTGAATGAAACTACATGAAACAGGAAAAAAATTTTCAGTGTTCTGCTCTGGAGGCATATTTTTGCTTATTGGTAGTAATTTTTATCTTTTAGATAGATATAATGGTAGTCAATGTAAAAATTAGATTAATTATTTACAGAGAATAGATTGCCGGTAATTTCATTCTCAATTGCCATTGTGCATTTCACATTTTCACTTGAGCTAAGGGGCAGGAGGTAGATTTATAAATATATGTGCTCCCATTTTAGGGACATTTTTTTTATGTTCATGGACTAATAATTTCCATTATAATTATTATACACATAATAATACACACCCATATCTGCTACACTGAAGAAACAGCAGAACTGGAATGCACTAATATATTCATGGGATAGATATTAACACGAACCACGGTGAATTTGGTTGGCCCAAAAAAAATCCGACAAAGTGATGAAGCAATCAATCTTGTGAAGCACAAATCAAAGCTCCACATCATGTATATGATCAATGATATGTGGATCTCTAATATTTTATATATAGACACACACACGCACACCAACATTGAGGTTTCAACTCCAATAATCGTTGATCAATAAAGACATAAGTGGCTAGTCTTGTTTATAATGATTAAGAATTATAAATCACTTTGAAGCAGCACTATATTATCCCATATCAATCATAATCTCTTATCCAGCAAAAAGGAACAGCAGTTAGTAGACAAGAATTTCCTCTTTGATAATAGTTTAGTCACTACAAAAAAAAACAGTATTTTGCAGCAGTTCCAAATAACTGATACTAAATTGTACATTTATAACGGTTATACAAAAACCGCTATTAATATGCAACGGTTTGACTACAAAGACAGCATTAGTAGTAGTTTTCTCAAAACCACAACAAAATTATGGCACGCAAGTTTCGTACCACATGGTGGGAACAATTGTAGTGAAATTTTATAATGGTTCAAGGAAAAAAAATGCTACTAAAAAATAGATGACATACATTTGCAGCGGTTCTAAGTAAACCACTGCAAATTTCAAAAATGTTTGCATCGATTTTGTCAAAATTGCTGCAAACGTAATGTATTTGCAATAGTTTTCTTAGAACTACTACAAATTTCAACAACGTTTGCAGTAATTTTGTCTGAACCACTACAAATGTAATGTATTTGCAGTGATTTTAAAAAAACTACTGTAAATATCCCATCTACAGCGGTTTTCAAAAACCGTTGCAGATACAGCGTGGGGTTATTGAAAATATTTTTTAATAAAATATTATACAAATAATTTGCAATGGTTTTTTGCTGTTTATGTCATATACTTACTATAAATATCCCCTCCCCTACTTTCTACTTGTTATTTTCCTTTCTTATTCTGATCGAAATTCGTAGCAGTTTCTGACATGTGTTTATAACGGTTTTTGACAACCATTGCAAAGTTTTGTAGCAGGCTTGACCACATTTGTAATGGTTTTTTATAATCATCGCAAGGTACTTTTGCCACTCTCATTACAAATGCATTAATAGCGTTTAAAACTACGGCAAATGCACAAAAATAATCACTACAGAACACTTTTTTTTTGTAGTGAATGTTATCGCTAAACTTGTTTAAATCTCAAAATAATAGACACTTCTCGTCCCTCTCTCTCTCTCTTAAATGTTACTATATTCATATTATAGTATCCATTATCATGTTATCTGACTTTGAAGTTATTGAATGAGCTTGATTATATATATGGAGATACACACACACATATATTTTTTCTCAATCATCTTATATAACTTTTTAAAGTGAGATTTTAAGTGAGTGGCGTACAGCTCCCATATGCATATATTTTCTCTTTATCTGATCTCTTCCATTTTCCTTGTGGCATCTAAATCTCTAATCCATCCACCCTCTTGGTTGTGTCGTTGTCTAAAGGATTTGAATGCTTCCAACAACAAAACAGAACCTATTCGCGAATCAGAAACAAACCATATATAGCAGATCAGCACTAATAATGTATATGAGCTTTTAAATATAAAGAGAAATCAACTATTAAAAAAAACCATATAATATCAGATTAACAATACTCATAAATTATATAGTGAAGGGAACTAAATGCCATTTAAGTAAAGTTGTAAGTTCAAAGTTTATAAATATAAAAAAAACATTTATTTAATTTAGACATGATAAGACAGTCATCACATCAAAAGTTAGCATTATTATGTGTGGAGAAGATAGCATCGTTAGCAAAAGAAAGAGAATATAATATTACTTCACATCCTTAATATAAGAGTTAGTTATTTAATTTGAATATATTAAAAAAATTAGTTAACTTAATTATTTATAACAAATAGGAGTTGTCTTGTTTAATATCTTTACTAATAATGTGTGTTAACTGGAACTATTATTTAATAAAATTTTTAACATGTACAACTATTATAAGGATTTTCTTAAAAAAAATAAATATGAGAGAGAAAAAAAGATCAGAGTCTTATATTTATATTTAATATCAAAATAAATGTTAAACTAATTAATAAGCATCGACAAACGGGTCTGGCCTATTATTGCCTTGTGCATTTTATATGTACAACGTGGCATGCCTCTGTTTGCCTCCAAAAGATGCAAGAATATCCATGAGGATCACCCAACAGTATGGAAGAAGATTCGCCTAAAATCACACGTTGTATGGGGACATATACAATCTCAAAATGATTCAAATTACGCACAGCAACATTAACTAGAATCTCTCTTTCGACGAGTGGCAAGAATTGTTGGTGAATAAGATTTGTCCTTATCTCCTCCTACATATACAGAAGCCAACATGCATGCACGGACAACTTCAATTGGAATATCTACTCAGAATGTCCTGAGCATAGTGTAACTTTGTGATGCTTTTTTTATGATTAACTTCACTCATATATATCTTCAATAAGGTTGAGATATATATATATATATATATATATATATATATAAGCAGTGGCTCATACAGTAATATATGTCTTATTTTGCCCATAATAAATCTATTTATGAAGAAAGCGACTCGTTTCGATCCGTGTTAAAAGTTAAAAGGAAGCAAATTTCATTTATATATTAATAACTTTTTTTCTTTTACACCATGTGTTTTTTTATAGCATTGTCTTTGCCGCCATTTGAAATATACTGATAATAGTGTAGTTTCTTTACTACGAGCCAAACGAGTCACAATTCATTTATTAGTCACAATCCCAAGAAAATTTAATTCTTGAAGAGTGTGTGCGTGTAGTATACAAAATGAATTACATTCAATTTTTTGAGTTAGTAATCATTTATACAAATTGTTCTTAAAAAACCACACACACATGCCTTTTTATGTTCTTAAGAAGTGTGTATATTTCAAAAATAATATGTCATGTATAATATCTATTCTGTGTTTTACAATCATATGTATAAATTTCAAAATTAAATTTATACAATTTTAATATAATTCAAAAAAATTATATCAATTTAAAATATAAAACTAAAATCTACTCAATTTTAGTTGAACGTAAAAAAGTTTTATTACTACTTTGTCCACGATTTCTTTACTAATAGTATATCACAAGTCTACTTAATTTTAATTGAAAGTAAAAAAGTTATTTGCACAATTTTTTTAGACAAAAATGAAAAAGCAAATGGCCTTGACTGTGAAGGGGCAAAAGCCATGGACGGCTATGATTGGCCAATGTATAAACAAAACCTAACAGGGAGTGTCAGATCTCAACAAAACGGGGGCACTAAACTATAAAAGGAGCTATAAGACGGCCGTTCTAGAGAGAGAAAGAAAGGGTTTTTTTTTTTGAGAGAGAGAGAGAGATCCAAATTTCAATTTTTGTCCCAACAAGAAAAATATTTCTATAGCTCATTCCCCCTTTTGATCCGAGCGCGGATCGGAGTCGCCACAGTAGATCTGCCGTCGATTCATGGAGGGGGTGGGGGCCCGACTCGGCAGATCCTCGACTCGGTACGGACCGGCCACGGTGTTCACTGGGCCGGTGAGGAAGTGGAAGAAGAAATGGGTCCACATATCGCCATCTGCTGCTGCTGCTGCTGCTTCTTCTAACAACAATCACTCTCACCCTCAAAACGGTACTTCTAACGGTAATAACGGTTCCCATCTGTTGCTTTACAAATGGACCCCTATTACCCAAAGCCAGAACCAAAACAACAACAACAACGGGGGTGGTAATACCAACAACAATACTACGGACAGTAGCTCAGGCAAGGACGAGAACGCAGCTGGGACGGCATCTGAAGAGCCACCTCGGAGGAAATTCAAATATGTTCCGGTATTTCATTGACATTGATCTCATTTCAATTTTTCCCACTTTTCACATTGGCATGATTTTTCAAGGGTTTTCTTAGGTGGTAAGGTTGAGATATTGGGGGTAGGTACGACTTTGTTGGAAGTGGTCTGTACGTGTGCGGCTTACAGTTAATGCTGACCTCGTTTTGATTTCTTTGGTGCTTGGTTTTGTGTTTCCAAGAGTTCAATTGAGGGTTTCCTTTTTCTTTTTCTTTTTTCCTTATTTTGGATGACTTTGAGAGTGGCAAGACAGGAGTTGGTGATTAGAAATCCATGAACTAAAGTAAAAGAAAAAGTATATCTTTCATGAGTCAAGTTTCTATTCAGAGTTGTTGGGCTGATTATTTTCGCTTGGAGTGTTGAGATTAAGGGGGGATAACATGGAGAGTGAGATTATTACTAGCTTTCTGAGTCAGGTGGAAACGACCTGCGTGTAAGTTGTTCACTTTGGCTTTAGGCTTTATGAGTGTAAGCTCAAGGCATTTCAAGGTACCTTGGGTTTAGAAATGTATTCTTTGGGAATTTATAACAAATTGAATTATTGGTGTGAGAAACTGAACCCTTTGGGTTTTCAGACTTTGTGACATAAAAGAGCTGATTGCTTATTTGCATAGTTCATGGCAATGTACCTTGAAAAGACTACATTTTTGGCATATTTATCAATAAGCGGACCTTATGCTATGGTCTGTTGGATTGTTCAATTTTACAAATGCAATCTTCCAATATGTTATCTTTATGATTATGTAAGTGGAAGAATCTTCCAATATCTACCAAATATGTTACTTCATCAAAATGAACTGTCATTTATGGGATTCTGCTGCTTCGAAGCTTTGCATCATATAAGATGCTAAAATACATGCATTGCCTTGAGTATGCAGACAAGTTGTGGCTCATTCTACATATCAAGTGTCTAATGCTCATAAAATATTTTGAACAGTCGTTGAAACTTGAACTTCTGGAAAGCCTCGTTTATGCTGATAAATGTTGTCTTATCCCACTAAATCTTGTTTCCTGGAAGGCTCATTTGCTGTTCACTATTTATCTAATGGCTTGCAATAGTGTTCTGTGATGATTTTTGTGTTTGCATTTGTGGTAGGGTTTTTATATATTGCATGATATAAAGTTGGTGGCAATTGAGAATCAATTGTTCAAGCACGAATTGGTTTAGATTGTTGAATCTCTACTTTTTGGGATCAGTCATTCCCATGATTAAATGTGGGAAGAGAAAGAATAATTGAAAATTTGGGGATTTTTAATTTCTTAAGATTATTTGTCATTCAACATTGAGTAAAAATGCAATTCTCTTCTGGTTAAAAGCAGGGACCAAAATGAGAAGATTTTACTTATGTGTCATTGGAAACTCTTAGAAATAACAAGGGATGACCTAACTGCTGTATTTTCTTAATTTGCAAAATATATTTTCAGTCAGACTCATTTATTGTCCTGCATTTCTCAAACGGATTGTGACATTTCTTGTTTGTGTGAGAGTGGGGGGGGGGTGGAAGGGATCCTTTATTTTGCCAGATCTAATATAGATTGAAATTTAGAATTGATTGATTAAGAATGTACAGAGTATTTCGTATTAATGATAGCATTATAACTTTATTGGGTGAGTTTTCTGAGTGAGAAGATGCAAAATGAATAAGAAAGTCTAAAGATGTGAGGATTCATACCTTTTTAATACTCCCTCCGTTCCTTATTATAAGAGACATTTGATGCTTATGGCATGTTCCTATATATAAGAGACACTTAAAAGTTGTCTCTACTTTTCTGTGTTGATTTCCTATTTTACCCATATTTATTGTCTCCAACTCACACTCTCTCTTCTTCCCACTTCTCTTTCTTTTAATAATTTACCATTGTTCTCTCTCCTTATTAATGAGGGCATTTTTGGAAAACAAATTATACTTTTTACACATTAATTGTTTTTAACTAATTTTAACTGCTTTTTTTATTAACGTAATTCGGTTATTTGTCTCTTATAATAAGGAACGGAGGGAGTATCATGTTCTTGAAATTTTGAGTAATGCAAATTGATCCCCGCTGGAAAGTGTAGCTAGCTTGGGCCAGTAAGAACAAACATAAGTAGCTCAATAACAACTGATGTTTACAATATTATATTCTGATCAGACGATTACTAGAGTCAGTGGAATAATTGGGAAGTTTGTATTTCTTATTGATTTGAATAATAAGATACAACCAACCCCCCCCCCCCCAAAAAAAAAAACCAGGGAAGGGAAAGGCGAGAGAATAAATGCTAAAAAATGCTACCCTATCTTAGAGAATATTCAGAATAAACAAAGATATTCCCATAGAAACTCTTATCCTGGAAAATATCTTTCAGATTATTCAAGAACTCAGTATCCAATTTTCACAACCGTTCACATGTTAGGGAATAGGTGGGGATGGAATGGGCAAACAAAGCATAGTATTTATGATGACCTCGATGCATCTTTTAGTTTATTGACTCCACGATGTGGTTTGCTGCGCCACTAGGAAGATTTGCAAACTGAGTATTGATGCTACGAGTCATGGGGTTTATGCTTATCCTTCCCCGGTGATGCTGTGACAAGATGTATTTTTGATATCATAGTTCGTCGAAGACGATGCTGGTATAATATTCCTAGGCCTAATGTAGGAAATAAGTCTCTGTATAGCATTGCTTCACTAACTTGACAGTTATATTGGAGATGAATACGCCACTTTAACTAAACTATGTTTGTCATGTTCCATAAAACAATGGCACATTGTCTGGTAATTAGGTGGAATGTACCATTCAGAACAAGAATCACCTACGGTTTTCCTGTTACTACCATGGCTCAAATTTCTGTTACACAACTGAGTGCATTTAACAGTTACAATGCTCACATTTGTGGTCCATGATGTGCCTGATGTCACTTTTTATGCTGTTGATTGATGAATCATTTCAATACTTCTTTCTTCTATTTTATGCCTGGAAAGATAACTAGATCAATATTTGTTTCCTTGTTACCACTCATCGGGAATGTATGGTCATCTGGACTGTTTAATGGCATAGGTTGCCTTACTGGAGGAGCAGAGAAACGAGGCCGCTGAAGATGAGGATGCTGAGAAGGTTGAAGACGAAGCTAAGCCAATTGAAATTGACTCAAATGCAGCAGAACAAACTCGCAAGAGTGATGCTTTAGATGATAAACCGGACATCAATGATGTCCCTGCAGAAGAAAGTCAGGTGAACTTCTACTTGTTTCTTTTAGTTGCCTCAAAAAATCTCGTTTCTTTTCATATTCTTATGCGTCCTTGAAGGAGTTATTGTCTGGATAGAAAAAATTCATCTGGTTGGCATGTATAGTCAGTATAACAATAAGTTGGAGGAAGGCAAGGCTTATTACATATTATCATATATAGTAAAATTATGAAAGGACATGTTTTCGGCAGTTGGACCAGATTATGATGGTTGTCACTTTCTTCCTGGATATGGGACTGGGTTATATGATGTAACCGAGCCTTGTTATATGGAGCTTACTTCTCTAGATTTATCCTGTTTCAAGTCCTGAGGAGTTACTGAGCTTTTCAATCCAATATTGACTGGGAGTTTTCCTTTGTCTCAGGAAAAAAAGCAGGGAGTACGTCAGGATCTGAACGAAAGCACACTGGATTTAAGTTTGGGCTTGACATCCCAGGATGACGAACATGACTCTGATCCAAAACCTAATCAGACGAGGGATGGCCAGTAATATGGCAAACTCAGGTTGCACCGGAACACTGTTTCAGAGCTTCCTTATTCTCTGGATGATGGAAATTTAGAAGCAGTAGCGCACACATTTGTGTCTTACAAAATGGAATTTCACCTTGGCTTTCTGCTCACCCGGTCATTTAGCATGTTTACATCTGAGTATTCTTGCAGGGCTGCTTATAATTTGTATTGTAGGAATAGATACCTTCTTTACTTGGCATTAGACAGAATATTTTTTCCCCCAGATATTTACTGGGATAGGACATTTTGGACTTACAGATCATATGTATTTCGGGTGAATTTTTTAATTCAAATAACATTGCTGATGAAACTGCATTTGATTCTTACCCTGGCTTCACTGAACCAGTGAAGCCTTATTTCTGTCATTCGCTGTCTTACATTGAAGTTAGCTCAGAGTTCCTTCCTAACCTTTTTTTAGCGAGTTCTTGTGATCAAGGGATTGCATAGTGATCTTCATGCGGAGTTAACTCACACAGCCAACCTAGGCAGAATTTTTCCCACTTTAAAACATGCTATGGTAGTTGCTTGTCTGCCTCTGTCATTTCCCAGCTTTGTTTGTACCTCTTATGTCTAACTTTATTTCTCTCATTATCCATTTTCTGCACCCGTGGGTTTTACCCATTTATTGTGTACAGCATACGCGATTAATTGCATTACAAGGCATAATGTACGTTTCTATTTTACATTTCCGTAAACTTGTATTCACATTATCTACTGTTTGATTAAAAAACTTAAAAGATTGGGGGAAAACATACTTTTGAAGTTTTCAGACTTGTAAGATATAATATTCTGCCAAAGAGAATGTTCGAAAACTCCTGGCATCTCATTTTCAGTAGTCTAGCCACAGGTGCCCACTTGTAGCATTGAGTGTACCTTATTTTTCAATCAAATATAAACAAGAATGAAATGACAGAAAGTTAAGGAGGACCAGAGCCTCCCATCGCCAATAATTTCCCAAAAGAACTCCAAAGCCCAAGATTACGGTCAGGTCAAACGAATGGCTTCTAGACCCAGTATCACAAGTTCAGATTCTCTCAGATTTTCGTCATCATTCTTTAGCGACAGCCGCATCTGCCTCGGAGAAATAGTCATGCCTGAGGAAGAAATATAAATTAATGATCGTTTCCCTAAGATGTAAGTGAAGCGCCAGCAAGAGTATAGCTATGAGAAGATCAAGCTCTTCACGTTGAGCGCTCAAGCGTTTTACAGCAAATACCCACAACGATAATATTGCAGCCACAGCGCAAGTATATCAAGAATGTACATCACAGAATGAAGTGCAATGAACTTTCTAATGGAACAACTTGTAAGCCAGAGGATTTTCATTTGACCTTGAAATTGTTTTATTCCCTCTTGAAAGCCTCTTTTCTTTGAAATTATCAAATTTTAATTCTCTGATAAAGCTGGACCACGTATGTTTTAGAAGGTCAAATTTATCCTCGTCTGACGCTAAAACCAAATTTAAAAAATTTTGGCCACTTACTGCAATTTGCGAGTGAGTTGGTATATCCCTGTTGCTGCCATTGCGACATTTACACTAAATAGGTTCCAATTTTTCTGCAACATAACAAATAATGACCGTAAGTATAACTCTAGCACACACAATCCTATTGTTTACATATACAAAGAAAGAAAATCATACTCCTAAGGATACTCAAAGGGGACACCCCCCCCCCAAAAACAAAAAGCAAGTTATGTTTCTCCTACTCGCAAATGACCCTTTTTCATCGTAATCAGTAACAAAAACATCTAACAAGAAATTGCAGCACAGAAAAGTAGTATTTAAACATTACAGTTAATTCCCATTTGGAAAATTGGAATGGAATAGATTAAAAATATTTTGATACGCAGTTTTGGAAGGGGACTGCATTGGCCACAGATACATGATCAGTAGCCGTAACTGTTGAAAAGCAAGATGTCTAAGGGAAAAAGAAACTTACCGGAGTTATTACAGTGCTGTAACGTGACCAGATAAGTCCAGTAGCTGTAACCGCTGGATAGAAGAAAATTGAAAACAGTTTCATGAAGGTAAACTTAAAACCCAACGCAGGAAAGATGCGCTAAAACTTCTTCCAGAAAACAATTTCATTTTACAGCACAGCATTTCATATGCTCATCCACTAGGCATGAGGAGGAAAGACAATAGACAAACCAAATGTACCGCCTTACCTATTTGCTGGGGGTAGGAGAGTTTCTCAGGTGGTTTCGTGAAATCAGCAACATTGGCAATGCTGATGCCCCACTTGAATGTAGGAGCCCAGAAGTGAACTACACAGAAAAGACGGTTAATACAGGCGTTAGTATTGAAACATAAAAATGATGGTAACCGCTAACAGCAAATTGGTGGTCCACAATACAGGTCCAATTTAACTACCGCATATAAAACATAAGTGGTAATTGAATGAAAGTTACATCATTAAAGACGTCACATACTTGTAGTGCTTTCTAAATCTACCCTCATCAAAAGTTAATACCACATTGATTATAATGATGAATCAATTACTTACAAAGTTTAATTGCACAGAAGGGCAAAATAGGGGGAAAAACATCAAATGCTCTAGATATTATCAAACTGAACTTATACGTTGGACCAAGTCAACTTGGTAGATTACAGGAATATTTAACTTTTAGAACTACATGAACTAGCTTTCAAATGCAAAGAATTATTTAATTTTAACAAAAAATTACCCAGAAAAAGTTGCTTTCCTTTCATCCCTTACCCAGTCAAAATCATCTTCTAGCTCTTTTTTGGTTATTCTTCTCAAGTTTTCATTTTCTAACTACCATCCTCTTTCTGCTCAAGCTAAGATAATTATTTAAAATGATAGGCATTAAGAGCTTTGGCTAACTTTCATTCTTCAGAAACACTGAACACTTTTGGGATTTTCCAGAACTCATGCAAGTTTGGAATGCGATACCTCATTAGAAAGACAAGGAAGATTGCTGTGCTAGCACCAATTGTTTCAGCATTCTCATTTATTCAATTCAAATTATAATTTCTTGGTCTCAATCACCCAGAAGTCCATCTCTAGTTCTAAGGAAGAAGGAAAAGATTAGTTAGGGAGATTACACAGGAGATTAGACTCCCAGAAGATAAAAAATTTAAGTGATCATTTCAATCTAAACCAAACGAAGATTGATTATAGTGTCACACGTCGTTAAGAAAGCCTCTTTAAACACTTTTTGCCATAATCTAGGTTGGCTGCACTTGAAGCCATTTATAAATGTTGATTGATTGGTGGCTCTGTTGTTTTCCAGACATGCTTCTAAAGTTCTAATTATACTAGCTCACCCCGTTTATGTTGTAATGAATTCTCAAGGCATGCCAACATCGCAAGCATGGAAAAATGATATATCTGATTGATTCTGAATTGAATATGCATACCATCCGGAGGGCACACTTGTACTGCAACGTCATAGAGACTAAAGAAAACCCACCGATTTACAAGCATGTAATCCACCGGTTTAGGCAAAACAGCAAGCCAGAAGTAAGGCTTTGTTTAAAATTTAGACCACAATTTAATTAAGAAATAACCCTTATGTCTTTGCAAAAGAAGGAAAGCATATATATGTATATGGAACTGGTTCTTCAACTGATTTGCAGGCAAACCGGGGTCAATGAATCTCAAGGTAATAAGCCATATCAAGCAATCTAAAATAGCAAAAAGTCAACTAAGTGCCATTGGGGCAACACCAAAAGACCCTAATTTTCTCAAAATTGAGTAGAGTTCAAGAGATGCCGGCCAGAGAATCAATAAAAAAAGAATCCGGGTAAAAAAAAAAAAAAACAGAGAGAAGAAATATGCATCCATAAAATAGGTTTGTATAGCCCTAATCTCACAGATATTATTCGCATGAAAGGAAGTCGCTGGGATACCGAAATCCGAAGCGGCATATCGAAGAGAAAAAGACAAAGCGCACAAATGGATAGATTCGAAAGAAATTCGCTTAGAGCAATGGAGCGATAAACGAGCAGACTCACTGGTTTTTGGCCCAGCCGGGTGATTCCAAAAGGCTTGTAGCTTCGAGGCCGCCATGAACACTGCTGCCCTCGCGGATTTCTGCTCCGATTTTCTGGTCTCCGACGCAAAATGGGTTTGGCGACTCCAACGCTGAGGCAACCAAATACTTCGTCGATAAAACACGTGGGTGTCCACTTGAAAACCAACAACCAATAATATCACTCCGCGTGTCAGCCTGTCAAAGTTCCATCTCGATCGCTGACTTTGCGGGGCGGGGCGGGGCAAATACGTAAAATCAGTATGTAGAAAAGCGGGGAAATGCCCAAAAAAAGTGAGTTTTTGAGGCAAGCAGTTTCTTGGCTCTCTTTGATTTCTTCTGAGTGATCGGTCGAACTTCAAATTTCAAAATCAGGATTCAGGACAAGCTTCTCCCAAGTTATGTTTTAGTTTGGCAAAGTTATAAGTACAATTCTGGTCCCAGCTTCACCTCATACCAAATTCCCTGGGGAGAGAGTTGCTTAGTGATAGGTAATTCGGCGCCGCCTCCACCGCCGCCGACTGAGTTCAGCCTACGGAGCCTGGACTCTCTAGCCAAACTGGTAATTTTCTCGTAGACATCTAGCTCTGAATAATATCACTTTCCTAAATCGGATTTAATCGTTATCGTTAATCCTAATTTACTTGAATGGACTTTGGCATCGGTGTTCGGTTGCGATAAAATTGGAGTGTTGCTGTTTAAAATACAGCATGGATCTTCACAAAAATCTACTGGTTACTTGAATAATGAAAAATAAAATGAGCTAAGCAGTGGCATTCTATCTTCCGTAGTAGTAGAAAATTTTTCCAAGCCACCACCCAAGTATTTTCTTCTTTTCCTGGTAAATGAATCGTAGTCTCTACATTTATGTTGCATTAGCTCCGCAATAAGAACAGTAGATGTTGCAACTTTTTAGAAGTCTTTAAGAACGCTTGTCTTATTTTGATTTATGATACTTTTTGGTACATTACAGAATAGTTTTGGTAAACTCCTTAGAATTGATGTGATTCAAACTATAAAACGGTGAATGATGCATTTGATGATTATCAAGTCTTGCTCATTGTTGTATACTTACTCAGACTTGAATCATAGAGCTGAAGCAAGTGCAATGAACATGGATTCACAGGGCCAGACAACTTCATTACAGCGGCTTCAAAATGTGGAGAAGGTAATACTAAAATCAATAAGAAGCAACACCATTACACCAATGGAGTGACGGAACTTAAAAGTTTGTGTTATATTGATTTTCTTTCTTTCTTGCTTGTGTGTAGAGAATTGTCAAGGTTTTGGAGCTTGCCGGGGGAGTCATGGATGAGCTTTCAAGCCCTACTGGTCCTAGGAAAGAAGTGGTCCAAAACCACTGCCTCGATTTCATGCAATTAATCAAGGTTATTCCCTTTATAAGCTTAGAACTGCTTGTAAATTAATTGATGACGATCCAAGCATGTGTTTGAATCTTGAAGCCCCGCCCCAACCCACCCCATAAGACCAATCCCTAGCCTAGCATTGTGCGAAAACAAAATTCTCATGGACAGCTCCAGATTAAATTAATATTCCTTGCAAGCAGCTTTTTCCTAATTACATTAAGAAGGTTCGAATCTGGATGTAACACCCACATTCCACTCCACCTTTATCATCTGAATTAGCCCATGCGACTTCATAGACATTTTTAACCACAACATCAAAGCTTGGCTAAACGTCTTAGAACTACTTTGTTGGGTAAATATTCAGAATTGTTTGCCAGAGCCTATGAGGCTATGAGAAACAACATCTCCCATATAAGTTTGGCCTTTGCATGCTAGGAAATAATGAAACAAGTGTCAGAAAAACTATCTTTAATCCAAGATAAAATGGCGAAAAGGAGGCTGTGAAATTATGCTCAGTGGACTGGTATCTGATTTTGCTTCATCATTATGAACCTTGGAGGGCTACAATTTCTTAACTTTCCTGATTTTTGTTCTCCGTTTAATTCTTATAGGACATCCAAGTGGCATTACGTGATGAGATCAAAAGTGCTTGTGAGTATCGTCCATTTGAGAATTGCGACTATGGATCAAGAATAGGCAGTGAGATTTGTTTCAAGAAACTGGAATTTGTTATGTCACAGCTGGAAGCAATGAAACAGACAATGGATGAATACCATGCAGCTGTCTGAATTGACCAGCAATCCTTCCTGTTCAAACTCACTTGTTCGAATTTACTGTGTATGTTATCATATCCACGTCAAAGAAACTGTCTAAATACCAAATCAAACCTTATTTTGCCTCCCTACTCTTCCATCCTCCTCAATCCAAACATATAAAAGAATCGGACGGGGTTTTTCTAGCTGTATTGTAGTATTGGGAAGCCTATATTGAAGAATTGGCATTTCGAATTTACGGTGTATGTTATCAATTCTAGGTCATGTTCTTCTTTCCCAGATTTTCTTTGTTTCATACTTTCATTTGTATATCGGGGTAGAGTTCTCGGAAATTATACTCACTACAGGCCTTATTATGCTCACGCAAACTCACTTAGCTATATGGATGCAAAGTCACCATCAACCTCATCAAACTCTCAACTACCTCACTCATGATAAATGTTTATTTGACTCCATCAGTCCTTAAAGATCCGAAAAATTTTTTTGGGGGGTGGGGGTTCAGGACTTCAGGCAAAATGAGGTCAAGTATAAGGATTAAGGTATTAGTTTTCCTTTTCTTTTAATTCATTTCATCAATAAAAAAAAATAATAATAAAGTCAATTGAGTGGAATTTTTATTGTAAAAATATAATAACGTGTCGTCAAGTGTCAAAAGAAATTTATAGAATTATTCTTAACTTTTTATTTAGTGTCTAACAATAATTTGGGTGGAATTTATATTTTTCCCTAACTAAACATTAAACGCCAAATGCGTGCATAAATTCTGAAACACACCATATTTATTGTATCCCCATACTCCAAGACTAGACCATAAGAGAAGGATTTATCTTGCATTCTCTTCTCCAAACGGTCACCCACAAATCTCATGACTTGACCTATTTTTAATTCTCACTGTTGTCTTTTTTTTTATTCAACCAGAAAAAAGAATTTAAAATATATTTTTATTTTTTAATGCAGATTTTCAAAACTTTGGAGTGTTTGGTATATGCCAAAAACATTTTTAAAAAATATTTTTATATAAGTCGTATATATTATAAAATTATTTTTGAAATTATGTTTTTTTTTAATATGACATGATAGAACAAAGAGAAAGGCAGGGGCCATTTTAACGACTATTATTGGGGAAAAAGGAAAAAGAAAAAGGCAGGGACCATTTTGATTTGGACAATATAGACCCCAATATGTGAAAATGGAATTAATTAGGGTGTGTTTGGGAAATACCAAAAGAGGAGGGCAATTTAAGTCTTCTTACATCTGGCCCTGGCACAACTACCTCCATGGACGACCCCAGATGAAGCTTATGCTTTTGGTCAAGCCACTTGTTCTTTCCACAATCACACTGAGCATCGCCATTTTCATCGTGCTTCTGTTCCCCAAAAACCCATCTTTTCGAGAGGCTGATCCCATGGCTCGAAGCTTTGTTCTGTGGCTTCATGGTCTCGGAGACTCTGGTCCTGCCAACGAACCCATTAAGACCCTCTTCACTTCTCCCGAGTTCAGAAATACAAAATGGCTGTTCCCTTCTGCGCCTTCGAATCCAGTCACTTGCAACTGTAAGCTGTTTCGCTTTCTATCAGTTTTTTATTCTTATGTTCAACCAGCATTTTGGTGCACACAAGGGTTTTGACACTTTCTCTATTAGGAACTGTTATTTAATTTTGAGTGTTGATTTTTTTGTAATTCCTGATTCTTTTTGTAATTGAAATGACATTTGTTTTTGGTGTTTTAGTCCAGATAATGGCAAAAGCTGTGAAACAGTGATCTCATTGCTGCCCTGAATGGTCAAAAACAGCCCTTTTTACTGTTTCTTTCTTCTTTCAGAATTGTACATGCTCCCAAATTTGGTGAAGTTATTGTCTCCATTGATTGCCCTTATGTCTAACTTTTCCAGACATTTGCGAAGTTATGTAGTTTTTAAAGTCAGTTGGTACTTAGTATTGCCTGGCTATTTCAACACACTTTGTCAGAAAACATTTTAAGTTATTCTATCACCTCTTTATTTCATCACCATGTCATTCTTATTAGACAAGCACGTTGAATGTCTATGTTTCGGTTTTTCTTGATCTGTGAGTAGTTATTCCATTTGCTTACAGAACATGTTAAATATGCCTATTCTGTTCAATCTCATCTGACTTCTTACTACTGCTCCTCGATGGAAAATAGTGTGCAGACACTGGGCAATGATGAATTGAACTTTCATAGTATCTGTGGTCAATGATAATATGCAATAACGTGATCCCATGCATGCACAAGCATCCACATATTACCAATTGGACAATCAGTGTCGCACTTCAACTGATTCAGAGGCCTCAAGAATGGGCGTGAAGATTTATGCATATATGTACACCTGTGTAGTTCTAGGGAACCCAAAATGTGCTAACCGTATTCAGCAAGGAACCTTTTGTGTGAAGTACGCAAGTCTTTACTCACAGAATCAACTCATTCAGGCCTTTGCCTAGTAATTGACGGATGAGGAGATATGAGTACACCCTGTTTCAAGGAAATGAACTGATAAGTTATCTCTAGTTGGAATTTCTGAGTGATGGTCCTTGGATTAAACTTAACTTCTATGGGCACCACAGTTATCCATTTCATGTTATGGCTCCTCACATTCTTCTCCATTTTTGTAATTTATTTTCTGCTTGACATCCTTGCTGCGCAATGCATCTAGTCAATTTTAAGTAGCATCATGATTTACAACGTGCCTTTTCACTTACGAAATATAATGAACATAATTTTTTCTTGTAGATGGTGCTGTAATGCCTTCGTGGTTTGACATTCACGAGATTCCTGTGACAGCTGTAAGTTTATCATTCCATCCTATGTTCAATATTGAAGGGAAATATAATAAATAATTCAGAAATACATGGTAATTTTTTTTCCACAGAATTCAATGCTTAGTTTCTTCTATTTCTTACATTTTCAGTGTTACAGACTGCATTCAGGATGTTATTCACAGTATATGTATCAGAATAAACTGAATATTGAGTTCAATCGTAAGCTCTGTTGCAAAATGAAAGTGACTATGTTCAAATATAAATGTTCATTTTGACCATGAGTCAGATTCCGTAAGCATTGCCATTTATTTTGTCATGGCAGTATTAACTGATTAAGAAACATGAAATCTGCTTGAGACTTCTTTCCTCTGAAAGTGATAACGCAACTTATTACTGATGGAGGACTGAATATCTCGTTATCTTGTTCTGCCAGCATTCAACATGCCACTGGTCCAAATGTCGCATGATCTTCTGTATGAGATATACTTACTGAATATATTGTAGTTACATAATCAGCTTTATTGGCAGTTGATCCTATGATTGTGGTTGCTGGCTCCTTAGCTAGATCCTTTGACTCTGAGATACAAATTATGGCCTATCTTTATCATTTTTTCTCATCAAATTTATCATGAAAATGAGATGGGTTCCCATTTTTATAAATATCACATAATGCGTAGAAGGATGGATTTTCATTGCGTAGTTAGATCACTTTAGTTGACTAGAAAGCTATCTGTATGGACTCAGCATCTTGTCTCATGCTTTTCCTAATTCATCTTAGTCACTTGAATGGCCTTAGCCATTTGAATGGTTTTATATAACATTTTCTGAAAGGGCTTCGAAGGTGTGGAAATTTACATTTCTCTTTCAGGTAAAGCTGTTGATCTCATCAATGTGTGTCCAAAACAATTTTGTTCATAATTTGTCAGGATTCTCCAAAAGACGAGAGTGGTTTGCTGAAAGCTGTTCAGAATGTGCATGCAACAATAGACAAGGAAATAGCTGCTGGCACAAACCCTAATAATGTATTCGTCTGTGGGTTCAGTCAAGGAGGTCTCTTTTTCTGTTTTTGTGCATATCTGTGTCAATATCTTTTCAATAACAACCTTCAAAAGAAAAATACATGTATAAACATTTTGTTATTTGGCTTCTGCCGTTGTTAACTGCTACGTCTTGATAATTAAGTGTAACAATGCTTTGCAGGTGCCTTGACCTTGGCTAGTGTTCTGCTGTACCCTAAAACTTTAGGTGGAGGTGCTGTTTTTAGTGGATGGGTTCCTTTCAATTCATCTATGGTCGAACGGGTTACAAATGAGGCCAAACGGGTACTAATTTAAATGAATGCCAATGTATCCTATACCAAGTTTACACTCCCCCCCTCCCCCGGGGGGCCCCAAAAAAGGGGGGGGGGGAGAGAGAAAATGCCTCGTATTATGTTTCTTTTTAAGATGCAAGATGAAACAGGATGTCTGACAACCGGTTTAGTGCTTACTGCATCTAGACTGAATAAATGAATTGTGTATCTGATATTGTTAAATTCACCCTGGGTTGCAATCTACAACCTTGAAGAATTGTTTGATATGGTTGGTATGCCCTGCCCTGGTGCGACAGCCAATTCCAAACCTGTGGTATTAGCTTACCGCTGGACTGGCTTCCTCGTCACTGTCCGATCCCACATTTATATCCCAATGTCTAAGATGTAAAGAGGCATTAGGATTTTACCATGTTTGGTGCCTGATAAGTAGCTTCCTAGTGTGACTCAAGATAACATCAATTATAGCATGACCTCATTTTTACGTATCTTATTCCATCGTGTGGAAAACCCATGGGGATCTCACATCCTTGAATTTTTATCTCTTTAAACTTCGATTTCATCCCGATGGATAGTTCTCTTTGCAACTTTTAATTATTGTATCAAATATGGGAATTTTTAGTATCCAAAGTATCCGGTGATGCACAATGACAATGTGATAAACCGCTTACCTTATCAATCCTTGGGTTATCATAATTTTTAAAAGCATTATAATCCTTGAAGTTGATTCATAGATTAGTAAAGGAACCAAATCTTGGTTTTCACCTGGCATTTCTCACTGTAATTTTGATATGCCTCTGCAGACACCCATATTATGGTCCCATGGGATTGCTGATAGAACAGTATTGTTTGAGGCAGGACAAGCAGGCCCCCCATTTCTTGAGAAGATTGGTGTGAGCTGTGAGTTCAAGGTAATAATCCGAGGTTTCAACAATTCATTAATTTAGGGAATCACCCACGTTATACTTACATTATACCTTGTATGACTTTGTATTTTGGACGATTACGTTTGCTGTAATTGTATTTGTAGGCTTATCCTGGTCTTGGTCACTCAATAAACAATGAGGAGCTTAAGTCTCTGGAGTCATGGATCAAGGCTCGTCTGCAGAGCTCTTCCTAACATTGTTTTGCTGTTTCAGTCTTTGGACATTTTATTCCAACTAGGCAAATCAAGAAGTTAATGGCGGGAATTGGGTTTTTTCTTTTTTTTGGTTATAAATCATTTTACAAATACAGTGTACCTATATTTGATACTATCATTGGAAATAAGATGAGCAGGGACTTGACAGTTGGTCATCAGTAAAAAAATTGATTACTCCAGTTTAGCCCTCGCAAGTTTTCTTTTGCGACGGGAAACAAGGAAAGTTCATTCATAGTACCTAAGAGGAATTAAGGGAATTGGATTCAACTAATCTCTCACAACATGACAAATCAAAATTCGAATCCCTATTGAAAAAAGTATTTATATTTAGTATCTGACAATATCCCAAACAAAATTACTTCCTATTAGAAGATATTTGTACTTAGCAAAAATAAACCAAAAATGATAGAGAGTAAGCGCCCATTGTGTTGCTTGTTTAAATCAAACCATCCTTCTAGACATTAAGCTTGCCATTCTCTACCTCCACACATACGTCCAATGCATCAGGTTTTTTTTTGACCAAATCCAATGCATCATGTTGAAGAAGTAATGCTTCCATCAAAACTGGTGGTTTCTTTTTCTCTTGTTTTTTTAACACAATTGTTGGTTTCTAATAGAAAAGTGTGTATACAGTAGAAGTTGGTTGAAGAGTTAGATGTACACAATAGAATAGAAGTTAGCTGAAGAGTTGGATTGTTCTAAATGTAAGACTTTAATATACTATCTATTATATTTATTTTTTTTTCTTAAATTAATTTACCTAATATACAAACCAACCTAATGTCACATAAAAGTATTTTAAAAAGATGATGTCATATGTGTTATAATTAACTAATTTATATAATTATCTCAATCTACTTAAATTAATTGAATAGCTTTTATATTAAATCATTGGAACACTTTTCTGATTTGTGAATAATGTATCCACATCATCGTCACTCTGACCGCAGTGCTTTGTCCTCATTTAAGTATCTCCAAAAGCAAAGCCCAGCACCGTGCGCTTCACTGAAGACATCAAAAAGTCTGGAGCCCAACCCTCCAAGCCCTCTGGGGTTGCATTTGCATTTATGTCTCCGCCCACTAGAACGCAGAAAGGATGTTTCCTGGCACCAACTTAGAATTCCTCTATATAAACGGGGTGTTTAGATAAGTTCAAATTATGGTTTTGAGAATAGCTTCTAAAGAATAGCTTTTTGAGACAATAGATTATTTTTTCAAAATAACTTTTCAATTTGAAACCATGGTTTGCATAAAAATAACCAAGCACCATAATTTTTTCCAAAATCACTTTTCATTTGGAAACTATGGTTTTGGGTATGAGACCATGGTTTTTCATAAAGTGAATTTTTTTTGCTTTTGAAGGTATAAAACCATAGTTTGGGATATAAATATATATACACATATCAATTACTACCTTTGATCCTTAATGTAAGAGTTAGAAAACTAATTTGTAAATATTAAGAAAGTTAATTAAATTATTTATTTATAATAAATATGTGTTGTATTCTCTAAAACACCTATTAACGATGTGCATTAGGATTATTATTTGATGTAACATTTAACATGTGCAAACTAATATGAGAACTGCTTTGAAAAAAAATAGATAAATGTATGAGATAAGATAGATTGATATCTTATATTCAAAATCAAATGGAATAACTAATTAGCTTTTATTTGAAGAAAAACCCAAACACCCCTAAAATAAGGAAAGCTAACGGAAATTAGTCCAATTTATTTGACTATTTAATCATACCTTTTAAGGATTTGAATTCAAATCACACTGCATATGTGAAAATCCCCTCGCAAATGTTATTTGAGCTTAAAGTTTATCTTAAATCTGGCAAGCGTTTGCAACTCAACCCACGTAAATTTTCAAAGCAGGAAAAGAAAGTTATTTATCTTTAAAGTGGTAATAATTATTGTTTCTTTAACTATTGTAAGGTATGTTTTTATTAGCCAAAAAAAGGCCTGTTTTGATTTTTGATTACAAAAAGTAATTATTTTAAACAAATTCGGCAGGGCCTCCAATCTAGCGTGATTTCCTTTTGCCGCAGAGCAATTAGATCATTATCATCATGGTGGTGAATTGTGAGGAGAGAATGGAAAGGAAATTGAGAACATTCATGTATTTAGCCTTATCTACTTAATATATTTTAGTCCAATCAAATCAGTACTAGTAGATTTTAAAAGTATTGGTAATAATAATTAGTACACCTCTGATCCTAAATACAAGACTCGTCTTGTCATATAATTTACACCATAAAATAGATTTTTTATTAAGGACCGAAAAAGTATTATAAATCACAAGAATTTGTTGTAAAATAAAAAATTATTAGAAAAATCACCTCTTGATTTGATTGGAACCAATACCCTTATATATTTATATAAAGCTGAATATATAAGTTTTTTTCCAAAAGAAAATCACCCTTTGATCAAAGCTAACCATCATTGTATTCTGAGGTGCTTTTCCCCCGAGCTGGTGAATCAAATAATAAGCATTGAAGGAATCATTTGGACTCCTTATGAGACTTGACAGAATTAATATACATATAATTTAAATCATAGAAATTATTGTAGAATTTTTATTCTTCTTAATTTACGTGCATTTGTCTTCTTTAAACTGTGCATCCTTCACGGGCGTTTAGATCTAGCTGTATATATATTTTCAATATAGGCAAGAGATAAAATACTCAATCTCCGCTTCAAAAGTAATCATTTTTCTGGATATTTCTTTATTTTAAATGATTTTTATTAATGTTTTATTTTTTGTTATTATTTGATATTATTACGCTTTGGGCGGCTTTGAAATGACTAATGCCGTGTTTGGGATAATGTTACGAAGACTCAAGCGACAATTCGGACTAAAAAAAAAAAGGTTAGATAAAAATATAATATCAGAGATAGTGATAAAAATTTAAAAACAGGATTTTTTTTATTCACAAATCATTTTAAAATTAAAAATCAAAACAATTTTTTCTACTTCTGATTTTTGGATGCTCTTGATTTTTACCCCAACTTCAATTGTTAAAAATTAGATAGGATTTGGGGGGGGGGACACTGTTGAAAATGTTAATCCAAATAAACTTTAATTGTGGGTTTTGGAGTGACATGATGATGAAATTTGGAGCTTAAATTAAGCGAATCTTTTCCCAAGATTGGCGTGCTGAGAGGTGTGGTCAATAATTCATCAAAATTCACCTTTTTTTTACATTATCATTCACTTTTTTTTTTACATTATCATTCACCTTTTTCACTTTTCGATTGCATGTGTTGTGTTACCATGTGAATTTACTGTTCCCCCAGCAAATTTCTCCATGCCTGTTCCTTATGTCCTCCAAATAATACCGGTTATAAATATAAGACTCATTTTATAATATAAATTATATTATAAAATGAATATTATATTTAGAATCGGACGAGTATTTCTTAAAATGCTAGGATTTCATAGTTACTTGTTTAAGGAAATTTTAAATATTCAATCAATAGAAAATATTCTTACTAAAACATAAAAATATATTTCGAGGAAAAAAATTTAAATACTGATGTAAAAGTAAGATGTTATTCTTTAATTTATAATTCGTTGTTCACATATTGATAACATTTAAGTGATCATGAAAGAATGTTTGTCAAATCAAACAGTGCACTAAGTTAGGCTTTCAGTCATTCAGTAACATGAGCGGCGGAAAAAAAATATAAAGGCGGCAAATTGATTTTCCTTTATTAGGAAACGGCATTTTTTCTTTTTCTTTTTTTTCTTTTTTCTTTTGGGGGACCAATCTGCCCATTAGGATGATTGCATTCTTATTTATTTTCCGTACAATTTAGAATATTAATAAATATGAGAATAAAAATTAAAAAATCATATCAAATACCAGTATTTTTAATGGTTTAAATTAGTACGATTCTTTGTAACTTTTATATATTATATTGATGGGTTATTCGACAAAAGAACTTAAATTTTATACTTGATGAACAGATATGCGATGTAAAATACAAGGAACAAGAAAATAAGAATATTAGATAAAAAATTATAGACAGTTAAAGTGTTGTGTTATTTTCTAAAATATACAATATATTATTTAATCTCAAAAAATGAAATGAGGGGGACCAGACCATCTGATAGCGTCAAAAGTTGAGGAGACAGTGAGTTATCCAGAATCTTGTTTTTCACTAAAAGCTGAAATTGCTCATCATTTCATTTCATTTCATATCCACTCTCTTTTGAACCTCATATCCCCTGATCTTTTTTTTTTCATAATTTTTTGTCAACTTTTTTAATAATCGTAAGCATATATTTGTGAAAATGTCTGCATAATCTTTTTATGCACAAGCATTTCTGATTGGCGGTAATTTTGTTTGAGCTACTAACTGTTGCTTCCCATGCTTAATGCAAAATTTAATTTATAATTCAAATTAAATCTTATATTAAAGATCGAAATAATATATTACATCTTCTCATTGATTTATCATGTTCAGAGGGGTTAGTCTCTTCTATTATGTGAGTCCAAACTTTATGGTGAATCACATACGTTTTGATAATAAAAAACGAAAGGTTGAAACCATTTAGTTCAATAAATTTTTCTTAAACATGAGGCTGTCATAATGTTATTTATGATGCATTTATAATCCTGATATTATACTCTTCTGATCCCTAATATAGGACCATTATTGTTAATTGATTTTGGTCCTAAATATAAGACCTATTTTATATTTATCAGTTTTTCTAAATTATATGTATGGATATTCCCTCAACCATAATCAAGTAGAAGAAGAAGGAGGATATGAAAAAGATAATTATGGTATTTTAGGAAAAACATGTCATTTTTCTTATAATCAATTAATTACCTAACTTTCTTAATATAATCAAATTAATTAAATAAATCTTATATTAAGGACTGAAAGAGTACCATTGTTCTGGTGCTTTTAACATTATAATCTTATCTACACTAAATACAACACTTTAAATTATAAATAAAATTAAGGTGCTGGATTGATAAATAACATCATAAAGTCGTGAATGCAAGGAAAAATATAACATGGCTGGATACCACTTTATCCAAAAATATATAAAGTACCGTTTGAAAACCCAAACACCTTGTTAATTCCCTTTCTTTTTTTTCAAAGCAAAGATTATTTCCTTTAAAATTTAACGTTTAGCACCCCACAACGTGAAAATAAAAGGCTAGAAAATGTTCTGGCAGAAACGAACCTGCCGTATTGTTCCACCACCCATAACATATTTATAATTTATATAGTTTATATAATAAAATATTGTATGGGCGCTTGAATACTGGGATGATTATCTGGTAAAAAAAAATACTGGGATAATTAATTAAATATTAAAGAATTTTCATTTTGATTTTCATATCCACCCGGGGCCATTTCATTCGCACATGGATTTACATGATATCGTAATCACCCTCAGTATGACGTCTAGCATGCAACAAATAAATAAACATATAGAGATTTTAAATTAGTCCGTCCATTTTTTTTTAAAAAAAAATTAGGTTGTATGTCTCTAACCATGTAATAAGAGCTACTTTGTTGCTTTGTTTAAAAAATGATTAATCTTTTATTTTTTAATTGCTGATCCACTCTGTGGTAGTGTTTAAGAAAAACGTATCACCTAGAAATTCCTCAATTTACAAGAGAAACTGTCTCACAGGTGAAACTTTGTTGGTCCTTTATTATTTTTTTCCCAAAAATTTTCGGTTTTAGGGGCCAAAAGGCCAAAAAAAAAAACGTGTTGTTTAAGAGTCTAATTTTGATGAAAGGCACGTTGTGGTAATCAACAATGTTTGCTTTATCCTCTTTTGTTCTTTTTTAAAAGTCATTGCTCTATCATCCCCACACAACAAACGCGACTTTTAATTAAAGATTATAATATATTTATTAGTTAATCAGAAAATTATTGGTATTTTAAGGTAAGATGGTAACATACGTATCTCATACCAAGTCATAAATGCGCAAACTTTTGAATTGACTGGCGTGTTCAAAAGCAACAAAATGTTCTCCAGGGATATTCTCCGTCAAATTAAACGATACTCGTCCTTATATAAGGCTCTTTTTAACTGCCTTGTCAACAAAAAAATAAATAAAGAGATAGTTAAGTACACTAAATTATACATTTTTACCATAAGTTATAGAATATTAACTTCCTAATGTTTCTCTGTTTTTTAAATTTTATTTATACATTTGAACCCAATAACGCTTGCATATAAATGAACGTACCAAATGAAAGAAAATTGTGGCTAAATTTTCTGTTAAAATAAAATGTCTTTGTTTTTGGTACAAAAAAATGTATTTTTTTTCCAACGATGTTAAAATAAAAATTCGCATGAATTATATATATATATAATAAAAATAAGTAATGACAAGGCATAATGAATTGGATTTAAAATTCATTCAAATGTCATTTTTTAATCTCATGTAGATCCTGGGAAAAAAAATCTTATGGAAATCAAATCATCTAAGTTAAAACTGATATTATATATTATTATTATTATTATTTTATTTTTATTTCTCTGTCATTTGAACACTACAAGTCAACCAATCTCCTAGATTTGGAAAGATAATCTATAAATATTGCTGTGGAAAAAGAAAGGAGTTTAAGAGTTAATTAAAACCCATAAAGTGCTAAGAAAATATTCACAGCTAATTAATCAAGCCATGCATTCGTGATTTTCCATAAAAGAAAAAATAACATAAATAACAGGGCATAATAAATATTTATTTTAACAGATAACTATGGAGAAATCCAAGCCATTGATTAAATAGGTCTCTCTGTAAAATGCAAGCATCGGATTAGGTAAATTAATCAAACGGCGTTTTGTGTTAAATTTCCTAACCCTCTCCAACTTTTCTGTTTACTTAACTCTTAAGATAGCCCTTGAGATAAACGGCTATTAACTTGCCCCAACATCTTTTCCATATTTATATATATAATTATTATAGCTAGTATCAGTAGGTCTTTAACTCATTGATATTGATTTTAAAATGAACCATTTCAATATTTGATGTCATGTCGTGGCTTTTTTTATGCCATAAAAATTCAGGTTACCAACAGAATAAAGAAATGCTAATAAATTACAAACAAACCATCATCAAACCAAACAATTATGAAGGGGGATTTCATGAACAATTTTAGCAAAATTATGTGCATAGTTCAAGCTACCTATAAATTAAAAAGATTTAACGGGCCAGAATATAACATGTGTTATTAATTTCCTCAAACCATGCAATTTTAAGTTATCTTTTCTTTGCCCCCCTTTTTTTTTCCTTTTGAATATCATGCCATTAGGCTCGAGCAGCTTGGACCCTCAAGTGTGACAAGCTAGTATAAACTGACACTTGGGCAAAGAGATCAGAATACGTCTATTAAATAAAAATAAAATTAAAAAGTTATTAAATTTTAAAATAAAATCAATATGATTTAAATTTTTTAATTAATTTTAATAAAATATGTTGAAGTATTTTATAAATAAAATTAATATATATAGACATATACATTTTTTTAGTTTTATAAGTTATTTTATTATATTCATAACATGAATATATTATTTTATTATTTTATTTATTATTGTGCATATTGTTATTCTCTTGTGAAATGTATGTATATTAAGTTAAGCTAAAATGAAAAATTGTTAAATTTTAAGATAAAATTAGCGAGATTTTTTTTTCCATTTGTGGAACATATTAGCTGAAGGTGCTTATAAATACTACTCCGTCCTTTATTATATTTTTTTAAATAGATTTGTCCCTTTTATAAGATTCTTTTGAATTTGTTTGAATATTTGATGCATTATTACATATTTTATCTATAATTTAATACATTTAATATATTCTCTTTCTTCATTTATCTCACTATTACTCTCTTACATTTACCCATTTATATATAAGGTTATATTTGAAAAAATATATATTTACTGCCTATTAATTACTTTTAACTCATTTTAACTATTTTTTTAAATCACACAATTTAGTTAAAATGATCTTGTATTAAAGGACGGAGGAAGCAGATTGATAGGAATAATTAGGAGATCATTCATTCAAGTGTAATAAGCTGGTTGGGACTAATTAGCACATCATTCATTCAATCAGAAAAATGTACAATTCATTGCTCCGTTGTGGAAAATCAAATTTGAACAAATTTGTAAAATCGTTATTATCATACTATTTAATGAAAGCATGATGCTTGAATAATCTTAACTTTAATAATTTGATAGACATGTCTAGTAAATTAAAGGCACCAATATGTGGATATTATTGGAAGCATATTTCAACAAAAAAGTAGTTTTTGGTGGTTCCGCGATATCCAAAAGATCAAAACACACTCCAACTTTTGTTTAAGCATAGTTTAGATTATAAAAATGTGACTAAGATTTTATTTTATAAATGAGACACAACTAACCAAATGAAATGTCCTATTTATTGTATGTAATGAGTATTACTAAATTTATAATTACAATATTAATAACTTTTGTCGTATTTTTATTAATAGACTTTCGTCAATTATAAACAAAGTGCTAACTTGAAGCCGAAGCAAAACCATTAATAATTAATAAATGAAATATAATTTGAAAGAAAAGCGGAAATAACTAATAACAAGTGAAAAGAACAAAGATTTCACAAATAATAGAGGTGACAGGCTCATGTGAGAGTGATCAGGCAGTCATATAAGCCAAGCCGATCCACCAAACCCTGAACATTTATCAAAAAGACGTCGTACGTACATGCAATTGCAGTTGCTGCCGCAGAGGATAATAACTTGGACCCTCTGTGGGGTCCAGACAGCGACTCATCAGTCATCACACTGTGGGACCCATCACATCACCAGCCCAATCACCGCATCTTCATCACTCGCGTAACAAAACCCCAAGTCCGCCATCGTACCTGATCCTTTCTTTTCCCCCAATGTCTACGTCACCAACCCCAGTAGCGCTCCCCTTCCCCTTTCTTGAGAATAAAACCTCATCAACCCTTCAAACTTCAAAACCTCTTTTCCTTTCTTCTCTCTCTCCCCACCTTCCTTCTCTCTCGATTGCTGAAGCTACTAACGCCGTCGTTTTTGTGCCTCTCTGTGTTCGACGATGAAGAAGCTATACCGGAAAGGGACGGTTCATCCGTCGCCCCCAGCGATTTCTGACCAGCTTGCGTTTCTTCCGGCGACTATCCTCACCCTCACGGCGGCGCTGTCACCGGAAGACAGGGAAGTCTTGGCTTACCTTATATCGTGCTCGTCCAGCAACACCGCACCACCTTTCACCAACTTTTCCGGTGGAAATCCGCGCCGGAACGCTCAGAAGAACAGCGTGCCGAAGGGCGCGTCGGCTTCCACCGTGGACGGCGGCGATCATCCTCCTCTGTTTACTTGTAGCTGTTTTAGGTGCTATATGAGTTACTGGATCAGGTGGGACTCCTCTCCGAATCGACAGCTTATACACGAGATTATCGATGCTTTCGAGGATTGGTTGGCGCAGACTAGTAAAAATGGGAAGAATAATCGGAAGGATAAGAGGAATAAGAAGGATTTGAATAAGCAGTCGGCGGAGACGAAGCAGTCCGAGCTGACGAGCCCGGGAAATAGCAGGTCGGATGAGTCGGAATCGGTGGGTGAGAGTAGTAACGGCGGCGGTGGCGGTGAGGGTTCCGGTGAAGCTTCTGGTGGTGGTGATGGTGGGACCGAAGAGGAGGAGAAAGGATCAGTGAGGCGGTTTGTGAGTTTCATCGGTGAAAGGATATGGGGTGCTTGGGGCCAGTGAAATTGGAAGAGAAATCCAGAAAATCAATGAAAGTAGAACAAGGCTGAAGAAGAAAAGGTGGGTTTAGTCCTTTTTTCCCATGATTTTTTTTTGTTTATTTTTCTTCTTGTACATTAATCACTATCTGCAATGTATAAAAAGGAATGGTATTGGTAGGTCGTTGTTATTATGCTTATGATGCAGAGGAATTAGTTTGGTTATAATCAATGGAATCATACATATGAATCCACTTTTTTGGTGTTCAAATACCGTTTTTTGGTTTTTGTTTTTGCTAATACTGGCAAATGGTCTCTCTGAAACGGGTTTCAGAACTGGAAAAAGTGACTTCTCTCAATAGTACGGCATTGAATGGATTCTGTTCATCTGTACCAGCATGATAATCCAAAGATTGGGCTTTACAGCGCTAGGGTTTGTTTGGTTAAATGCTTTTTGTAAGCTCCAAAACTTTTTGCCCAAAGATTGCAGACGGAGTTGGCAGTGTTAGGGCTCTTTTTCACTGAGAAAATTTACAGATTTTAGATTTTTCTTTTAACTTTTAAGGGGATTTTCATTTTTCACTGGGATCCACCTTTTTTTTTTTAACTGGAAATTTTCACTGCGATTCGCACATTTTCTAGGAAAATAATAATAATTTTCATCGGTCTGCCCAATGCCAAGTCAAATTGCCTCTGGTCATTCACTTGAGATAGAGGTAACATGGTTGGTAATTTTATGTTCATTATTCTATTTTAATAATTACATTTTCCGTTGGCGAAAGAAAATTACACTTTCTCTTTTTGGTTTTACCTTGGACAAATGTTGAGTTGAGAACCTTTGGGATGGTTCTCTGATTATTGACAGTGATTAATACTTAATAGAACTTTTCTTGTAATAAGCCTCTATAAATTTATGAAGCTGGATAAATAATTTTTGATCATGTAAAAGTTAATCAATTAATTTGAGTATGTTAAGAAAATTAATTAAGTTATTTATAATAAATAGGTTTGTTTTTAAATAGTTTTTTAAAATTGTTATTTGATGAAACATTTAATATGTAGAACGAATATAAAAAATATTTTAAAAAATAAATAAATATAAGAAAAAAAGTAAATTGAGATGCTAAATATTAACCAGTTCGGAACTGGAGGTAGTATTACTTAATGGAAGATACCTTAAAAATTAGCATATTATTCATAAAAAAATAAATTCTAAAGATCTATTGTCATTTATTTATTATGTCATGAAGTTTATTGCAATTAAATTTCATGGCGGAAAGGGTGATTTTTCTTCCTTTCATTCTCCTAAAAGGGCAGTCCCTATCTGGAATTTGGAAAGGTGCGATACGACGTCGCAACTTGGGGCAGTGACAGGATGAGAGAGAATGTGACCGAGTCTGGGAAGTAGCAATACAGGATATTAGGAAATCACAAAACTAAAACGCGTGAGGTCCAAAATTCGTTACCAAAACTGTCCCTGATTCAAAGGCGGTGGGTGGGGGGTACTTTCGAGGTACGTGCAATACAACAGACAAACACTGGAAGGGCAAAAGGGTAATTCCGCGTGCAGAGGATAATGGTGACGATGATGGAGATGGTCGGCGAGGAGTGGTGGAGGGTTTCGATAAAAGCACAGGGAAGGGCACAGAAAGAGGGCCGCTCCTAAAATGACATTTCTGTCCACTTCACTTCCCCCTTCGTTGTTCTCCATGCCACATTATTCCCAATAATATCATGTTTCAACTCTTTTTTCTTTTTCTTTTATATAAAAAATCATCTTATTATGCCATCCAGCTTTATTTGCTAATCCACAGAATATTACCCTTTTTTAAAATAATGGAAGTGCGCATTTTTCGTTCCTCTTATTTCTAATTCTGCATTCTAATTTATTCCCATATCTCACGAGTAACTTTCTGAACTCACATTAACTTAATATCTTATCAACATGACGTGTCACATCAAAAACTATTTGGACCAATCTTAGTATTTTAATAAGAAATATTTTCATAAAATTAAATTCAAATTAGAATTATCAATTGATTGATGAAATAATTTATTAGTTATGCATTCGGATAATACTTAATACTTAGACGTAATTTTTTATGTTCATTATAACAAGTAAAAAAAAAGAAGAAGAAGAAAAAGACACAGGGTCATCCATTTTTAAAATATTATTATTGACATAATCAATTAAAAAATTTGACATAAGTATTTTTTTTTTTATTTACAGTGTCTTTCGGCAAATTGCCATGCCTATTTGTGGTTACGATAATGTTAATAAAGGTTAGAACTGTAGACACTTGGGGTATTATATTGTAGTACTGATTATTTAATTGATTTGTGTTCTTTTCACACTTCGAAATGGTGAGGTGGGGGATCAATTATCCAAATTTTAAATCCAGCCTTTGTTTAAAATCCTATTTGCAGAAGCATGCATGGCATCAATCAATTAATTAATTAAAACCACAATAGTTTGATGACTGAATATTAATTAATCAATATTTAAAGTGGTTAGATATTTCTAAGAATTATTCCACCAAGTGGCGGTTTATAAAGATCCCAATGCTTTGAGAAAAACCGTTATTTTCCTTCCTTTTTTTTCCCCTTTATAAATCAAATCATTACTACTACCTCCGATCTTATTATTACAAACAAAATGTTATAATTAAGATCAAAAGTAGTATTATTTTAATTAGCAACATACAAAAAGCCCTTCGAAGCTGGGATAGACAAAAACAAACAAGAAAGTAATACTCCTCCGTAGTATATAGTTTTGATCAAATGGAGATTGTCAATTTTTGTTGGGAGAGGGTTACCTAAAAAAATCCCGTTTAGTAAAAAACATTGAAAATAAAGAATAAACATTGAGATTGTAATTGAAAAAAACTATTAAAATGGTATTCAGGATGAGTAATTACTTGTTACGTATGATTAGATAACCCATAGAGGTGGGTTTGACTAAGTTCATATAACAAGCAATATCTTATGCTAAACACTATTTTAATATATTTTCTCAATCATAATCCCAATTTCAATTCTTATTTTTAATTTTTAATGCGTTCTACCAAATGTAAGCAAAAGGCATTGAGGGAGGGGATTTCCATAGGACCAGCTGCCTTTAATTAGGTCCGGCAATATTGAAATTGGATTTTAAAAATAGTGATTAGTGAAGGGCGGTGGGGTGGGAATATAGGGGGAGAGACGGAGGCAGACTGTGACGTGCTAGATAGAAGAAGGAGGTGGGAGGGATTCTTTTGAAATTCCGATGTAATAAACAAACAAACAAACACAGCCCAAATAGAAGAAGCATGTTCCCTTTTAGTATTATATGGAAGGATAATCCTAGGGCCATGTCACTGTTCAACTAATCTTTGGTATTATAAAGTACTCTATCTCATTTGATTCCAGAGGGATACACCCTGGATTCTCTGATCATATACATTAGAATTAGAATCATCCCGTGATAATTTTTTTTATAATCATCAATGGAGATATTTTAAAAAAATAAATCATAAATTTTAAAGAATAAAGTGAAATAAAAATTTCGTATTGGAGATAAAACCCAAACATTTCAGCTAGCTCTTAAAAACAAAAATAATATTTATAAAAATATATGTTATTTTGTTATATCTCTTTAATTACTTGTATTGAATTTTTTTGCTCCTGCTTTGAAATTTATTTCATCCATGCAGTTCTTTTAATATGTGTAATGCTAAAGATAAGGTAGGAAAAATTTTAAATTTTAAAAATAAATTATATTTAAAATTAGGTATAAGCTATTACCTCTGATCATAATTATAAAACCTTCTTTATAATTTATAAATGAGATTTTATAAGTAGAACCAATGTAGTATTTAATTAGTTTTTATATTAACTATGGGAGACGTATTAAACAATATCAAATTGACAAAGCTCTCTCTTATCTGTGCTTTAAACCTATTGAATTTTTTGTCAGCCAAACAAAGAACTATTGAATTTTCAGTTATATATGTATGTAATTGGGTGTGTGTGTGGTAGATCATACAAAGAAAAATGTTCCTATCATATTTTTTTTAAATGTAAACATAATTAAAATAATAATGTGTAAACACACATTGCAATTCACAAACATATGGATCATTGGACTGCGGATCGATTAGATACATAAAAGAGGGGACAGTTCTCTCAACTCTCGAACCCTAACCCTAAAAAGCCCCATTGACCATATAATATATGGTGCTGTTATCCTTAATCTCTCCCATCATTATTTAATTAATTTATAATTAATTATTATTATTGGGATTCATTATTAGTCACATGTCCCTTGATTCCCGGTGGCTGCTTCAAGCCCTCACAAACCCCAAGTTTACAGTATCAATTAATCAAACAGCTTCCCACATAGCATGTCTGTTCAAACTTTTTGCTTTCACACAGAGGCTGATTCATCCATTCCCCCCAACAATATTTCACATATCAATCCAGCTACACTTTTATGTTGGGGGTTTGCATGGAAGATTTGTAGTATAGTAAGATTATTTATAGGATGTTTAGGGTACATAATTGATAGCGTCTCTACTGTCTACGCACAACATGAGGCACACCGGGTTATAATCTTCTAGTTCTATTTATAAGTCATTTTCAACATATTTCACACAGACCAAGAAAAATCTTAAATTTTATTAACTCTTATTTAAAACTTAACAACTTTTTAATTTTATCCATATTTCATATAAACCAAGGAACAAAAAACCGGACCGGACACTAAACCGGTTGAGGTAGTGGTTCAAGGGTTAATGGGTCAGACCGGGGTCAACTCGGGATCAAACCGGTCATATTAAAATAATTTAATTTAATTAAAAATGACAAAATATAACAATAATAATAATTACTAATAACAAAATATAAAGAAATACAATAAGAATTTGATTGTAATAATAATAAAGTATAACAATATTGAGAATTTTGATCTTTATAATTTTTTCAATAACTAAAATTAATAGTTATTGATGCCAAACTCATCATCAAAATTCATTTAAATCTATAATAATTGAGATATTAGGAGTTAAATGAGAAAAAATAGGATAAATATCAATATATTTATTTAAACCGGTTCAATACCGGTTCATACCGGTTTTCACCGGTTCACACCGGTTTGACCGGTTCAATCCGGTTTGAACCGGTCCCTGGTTTAGCTTATGAACCGGACCGGACCACTGACCGGTTGAACCGGCCAGTCTGGTCCGGTTTTTTTTACACTGATATAAACTATCCCTTATGTAAACAAAGTCAGCACAATAATAAATGGATGGTAAAATTGTATATTGATACAAAAAATTTCTCTTAGTACCCTGTAAATAGAACCAAAAAATATCTTCTCTTTTTGCCCTATAAATAGAACTGGAGGAGTAAGATTTAAGGTTTGTTTGAAATGATGGTAGAATCTTTTTTTAAAAAATTTCTAATCATAATTTACAAAATATAAAAAAAAAATTTGTGAGAATTTTATTTATGTTCTCAGAAGTGCTTAGCATAAGCAACTATAAACAAACCTCTACTGACTGAATTATAAAATACTTTCAATGAGCCATTTCCCATAACCTAGATTTTTAATAGCGACTTTTTTTTTTATTGTGTTCTTTTTCATTTTTTATGTGGCTTTTTTTAATTGAGCTTTGTGTCATTTTTTATGAATTATTTGTAAATGTATGAGAACTTATCTTGTACATTGTTCGAAGGGGGGGGGGGAAATCTTGTTATAAAACATTAGAAAAAGGGTCATGCAATAATCTTAAAAGTGAGTAAGAGTTCCACATATGCTGATTTGTTTCAAACAGGATTATCCGATATTGTTTGAGACGAAGTTGATTTTTCTTACGCAGTCTTGAACTTGTGATGGGTACTCCATAATCCATATCTTTGTTTGCACAATTCAACAAAAAAAACAATTGTCTGGGTGATAAAAATTTTGAAATGCCCACATTAATTCTAAGAACTGAAACTTCTTCAAATGGGGCAATTAAATCAAGGGAAAATTACACTCAGGTCCCACAGAGCAAAATTAATATCAAAAAGGTTCCTCGAAATCGCGAAATGATTCTGAAGTCCCTAGGGACCTGTGTGTAATTAATTCTAATTGTGAAATTACGTAGTTACCCCTGTTAATTTGAACATATTTACAACCTCAACAGTGGCTGTTAACAACCCGAGAAGAAGTGGTTAACAACCTCAACAACGCCCCTGGTATTCCACAGAGTGAGTTGTCATGAGCACTGCCGAGGTTGTCAATCACGTCTTCTCGGGTTGTTAACAGCCACTGTTGAGATTGTAAACGAATTGCTCTAATGTTAACAGTCACTGTTGAGATTGTAAACGAATTGCTGCAATAAAATTAGAACCTATTTACAACATCAACAGTGGCTGTTAACAACCCGAGAAGAGGTGGTTAACAACCTCAACAACGCCCCTGGCATTCCACAGAGTGAGTTGTCATGAGCACTGCCGAGGTTGTCAATCACTTCTTATCGGGTTGTTAACAGCCACTGTTGAGATTATAAACGAATTGTTGAAATAAAATTAACAGGGGTAAGTAGGTAATTTCACAATTAGAATTAATTACACACAGGTCCCTGGGGACTTCAGAATCATTTCGCGATTTCGTGGGACCTTTTTAATATTAATTGTGCTCTGTGAGACCTGAGTGTAATTTTCCTTTAAATCAATGGAGATATTTATTTCTTAAAAGCTTGAGCTTTCTCCTCATGAAAGCTATTGGAACTATAAATGGGTGAAAGTTTCGAGAATGATCAGTTTTTCTCATAATAAATCAATAATATAGCAGTGCAGTGGTAATGCAGCGTTTTTCATTCACACACCCACACACATTCATATATATTATTTCTTGATATATAATTATTAATGTTTCTAAACTTATCTGGTGACACCAAATGGCTAAAAAATTAGAAAAAAAATTAACATTTTGGTTTATAACTTTTAATTAATCTATATTATTGAAAAGTATATATGGACTATAGAGAACACATTAATGGGGATAGGAGTGCGTGTATGTGATGTGCGGCCAATGCCTACCACTAGCAGAGTCAAGAAAGACTCACAATACATACACATATGTATAATTTGTGGTTTAGAATCAGTCTAATTTTAGTCAGTTTAATTTTTTGCCTCCGCGTTTGGAATTTGACTAAGTATCACCCTTCAACCCAATAATCATTACTCTGGTTAGTATTACCTTGCTTTTTAGTATAAAAATTAGTTTGATATTCAATTTAGTTCTAAATATAAGATCCGATCCATTTTATTTTTTATATTGATCTATTTTTTAAAAAATAGTCCTTATAGTAGTTAAACATATTAAATGTTTTATTAAAATAGTTATAGTTTATACACATAATTAGCAAGAATATTTTAGAAAATATAATACTTATTTATTATAAATAACTAATTTAACTAGTTTTCGTAATTTATTCAAATTAGTCAATTAGCTTTTATATTGAAGATTGAGGGTATTATCGTATAAAATTTTAAGTTTAAAGGTAACTGCCAATAACTAATTTTATTTATAGTAAGGATAAGGAGGAGTAATTTCATTCATTTTCACAAATTTATTAGCTAACTCATATATTTATGGGAACATAACAGTATGTGGGTTCTAATAATATGGGAGAATTTTATTGATGAATAATTCATAAAATTAGTAAAACATATTATTCAATATTAATAAATTATGAATAATTTAATTTATATTTTAAAAAAATCACAACCCTTATATTACTGGGGGTGAAAATAACATAACAAGAGACAAAAATATAGTCTCACGAAACACTTGTGCTGATGTTGTCAGCATCATTGACATTTCATATGCGCCTTCTCTTCCCTTCTCTCACGCAACCCGTGATAGTCACTCTGCTCCTTATCATACGTCTCTGACTTGGTTCCTCTTTGACCCTTTCATTTCTCTCTCAATAATTTCATCTACATAGTAATCACCAATAATTATCTATTTCCAGTTTGTGATGCTTAATATTTAATATAAAACTTAATTAACTAATTTAAAGAGATTAAAAAAAAATAAGTTTAAAGTTTTTATATTTATAGTTTCTTACCAAATTAATTTGTTTAGCTTATAAATTGATATATAATCCAATAATACATATACAAACATTTTAGGGAGTGTTTGAATGTAAACCAAACTATGATTTCAAACGTGTTTTTACGATTTACAAAATAAATATGTTGAGGAGTTTATCTCGTTTTGTTGAAAAATACTTTTTAGAAGTACTTTCAAACACCCCCTTAGAGAGATTATGTAACACAAGTTATAATTAAATTATTTATTTAAAATTTTTAATTTCTCCAGATTAATTGATTGAATCTTATATTAAACAGCTGAGATAGTGTTATATTTTTTTCTCTATATTAGCTTTTTCATGCGACTGATCCATGACTCTGTCCGAATTCATCCCTTCTTGATTGATACTGAATTAGATCATATACATTATGAATAAGTTGAACACTTACACAAGTTATTAATTAACATGTGTCATAATACAGTTGATTAATTTTTACTTGAATCCATGACTATTTCGATTTTGATTTTGAAAATATTATTTAATGACTTGATGGTCTTAGTCAATATTTTCAAATTTCAAATATCCTGACCCTATTTTGTTCCCAGAAATTTCGAATTTGAATGGTCAGCAGCCAGCACTTCTATCTAAGCCGTCTGTTTCAAACTCGGGGATGAAACGGTCCTCCTTCTTAAGTCATTTGGTCAAATTTTGTTTCCACATAGAAACAGATTTTCCACGAGCTGTCTTATTTGTATGGGACCAAGTCATCTTATCACCACAGCAAAGTTATTTAGTTCTTTGTCAAACTTTAGGATACTGAAGTTTTGAACTTGACCTTTTGAAAAGGTCGAGTTTTGCATTAGGAGAATTTTTTTATTCTTCAACCCCCTCCCCCCAAAAAAAAACTAGGGAGGCAACATTTTAATTTTGTGTGTGAGAAAATTTTATTAATCGAAAGGTAAAAATTAAAAATAACGATAATCTCTCGGAGGAATTTGAGGTCTAGTTAGGAGTAGTAGCACAGGCAAGTGACTAAAAAAATACACTAAGGTCCCGTTTGGTATGAAGTATTGAAAATAAGAGACATGGATTAAGATTGCAATTAAAAAAATCATTAGAAAAGCCTTTAGCATAAGTAATTGTCTGTTACATAGAATTAGGCAAACCCATGGAAGTCAAGTAATATTTTCCAATCCTATATATATAGGTTTGTCTAATCCTATATAATAAGCAATCTCTTATGGTAAATACTATTTTCTTAATCTCAACCTAATCCCTATCTTTCATTTTCAATATTTCATACCAAACGATACTTACTTAGGCCTATGACATTATTAAGATGAGGATTAAAGAGTGCATATAGCATAAAGTTGGCATAACAGACAAAAACGTATAATACTTAAATAATATAAAGAAATTAAAAATTAAAAAAATGCTCTGGCTAGTCCCCTCACCCTGCCACATGTCGAGAGTGAAATATGGGTTTATATTTTATAAGGAAGTTGGGGTGAGAAGAGGGTGGTACAATAATATAGTAGGTTGTTGTAGTAGTAGTGAATTAAATATTAATATATTGATGGAGAAAAAGGGGTGGATATACCACTTATGAGTGATGAGAAGTGAAAGAGAGAAAAAGAAAGGGTGGAAGTGGGGTTAGGTAGATATTGGGGTCCTGCATTGTTCACTTTTTGATGAATTCGGAGCTACGATATCTCATGTTTCAATGATGCTGCTCCTCTCGTTCACAAAGCTATCATTTTAATGCACCCTAAAGTTCACGAGACCAATAACACTCCCTTCTCGTTCTCTGTGCCCTCTATGCAAATTATAAAAAGCCCTAAACTCTCTCTTTTTATTCAAAAAATAGTCAAAAGTCTCCTGTTTAAAAAATTAATTATGAATAGATACCTAGGCACTCAAATCCTCTAGCAAGTGACAAGTACAACTCTTTTTTTTAACTTTGTGCAAATTTTTTCTGTTTCGTACATAATTAGAGATAAGTTTCATTCCTAAATATAGATTGTATCCGTGTTCTTAAACAAATTTTAAGTACCTTTACACAATTAATTTTTTAATGAGGAACTTTTGACTAATTTTCAAACAAAAAAAATGATTTATTATTCAGATTAAAATGACTTTTAAATTAAATATTCCGCACACACACACAGATATATTAAAAAGGATAATTTACCTGAGTTGTTTTTGCATTCTCTTGTATGGGACCCCTAGGGTTTGCTTCCCCATTTTCATGGATAGTCATAGTCTTCCCCATCACCCTCCCAACACAGTTAAGCTGGCTCCTTAATTAATTCAAGACAGAATTAAATAATGCATTCCCCAAAAAGGCTTTTGAAAAATCAACTAACTAAATACTTCAACTTGACAGGCCAACTTGCTTAGATATTTATTATAGAGTACGAAGGTACTACCCTTAATTAAGACGGGAAATAAATCATAGTTATCTTAAGAAGACAGGTTCGTGAGTAATACTACACTTCACCAGTGTGTGGTTTTTAAGGATAATTTGTGTGCTTGTGTTTGGTGGGTGAGATGCGGTTGTTGGTGATTCATTCATATTGATGGTTTACTACACTTCCTAGCTACTTTCCCATCTTCTGCTTGTTTGGTGGACACTGTTTTCTGTTAGCCTGCCACCTTCTTCTTACTGTTTGATGCAAACTGGTGGTGTCGGTAAAAATCATCTATTATCCTAAATATAAAAGTTAGATAAAAAATTTATTTTAATTTTAAATATAATATCTAATCTATTTTATTTTTGAAATCTATAATTTTTTTATAATTATTCTTATTAATTACGCATAGTAAGAGGTTTTCATTGAGTAGCTACAAAGTGCATATTAGAAAGGGTATTTTAAAAAAACCAACACATATTTATTAGAAATAAATAGCTTAACTAATATTTTTCATATCTGAAAATTAGTTATATAACTCTTATATTAAAGATACCAGGGAGTAACTTTCTTCTTGTACAAAAATTTTTTTTTTGGCTATTTGCTTTCCCAGTGTTGTTAGCTGACTAGCTTATATAGATTTGGACCCTGTGAAGCTTAAATGACAATAACCTCTCAATATGATTTGTCGGACTTAAGTCATGTCATTCTCGTCGAAATTCATTGAAAGGAAAGAATTTCATCTGTTACAGACTTCCATTAGTTATATTGTGTGTTTAATAAAAGGAATAGTAAATGTGTAGTTGTCTGTTCTAAGCCGAGGCGGGAAACCCAATTGCAGAGACCATGTGAAGGTATGGACTCTGCACACTTTTTATTGTTTTGTTATGGTTGGACCCACAATGTCATCCTTGGCCTTGTTAGCCAAGACATGAGATGATCTTTAGAGTTTATCATTTATCTGCTAGTTCTTCTCACTGTTTTTCTGTTTCGCAATTACATTTTTTGGACTTATCTTGCTTCCCTGCTGGATGGTCCTGTGGTCTAAGGGGGGTAAATTTGAGAAAAATGTTCAAATTATTGATGCTCAAAGTCTTAAAAAAAAAAATGTTAACTGTTATCAAGAACAAGGATAGCAAGAAAGACTGTCTTCCTCAATACAATATTTGTAACGAAACTAATGTAGTAACTATCGCCAACAAAAAGCCCATTACTTCGAATACAAATTCACTTTTCTTACATTAAAATTTCATATAAAAATTAGAGATCATGAGAATTTAGGGTGTGCTTGTTAAACAAATTGCAAACGTGAAAGCAGCCAAACAACCACCCTCTTAATTGATGATCAATATTAAGGAGTAAATTCACTCAACTTGAAACCTTGAGGTAAGCAAACTAAACAATATTATTGTAATATCTTTATCAGTCATCATTGGAGCTTGTAATTTTCTGAAGAAGAGTTGAACAGTAAAGTTAATAAAGAACATCAAGCCTGTATAGAAAGCCCATGATGGGGGGATAAAGATGAAGGTAATCCACATATATGTGTGTGTATATGATATGAGCTTAAAAATATGAAAGGTATAACATAAGGTGTGGGGGGCAACGGTAGTACAGCTGGTGGAGAGAGAGTGGGGAATCAGGCATGTACAGGTATAGAGGAGGAAATGATGGAAGCACAACCTTTTAAGCGTTCAATAATGGCATTTCGAGAGACAAGACCCGAATGATGAGTAAGAGGTAGGCCCTCCTTCACACACTCATCGTACTTCTCCAAAGCAGACACAATGTCGCAGAAATCTGGTCTCTTTGAGGGGTTTGCTGACCAGCATCGCTTTATAAGATGTGCTAATGCGGGCTGACAACTTGCTGGTAATGGAGGCCTTTCATTCTGCACAACAACATATACTTCAGTCAGTACTCAGTTCATCTCAAAGATTTTGACATTTTGTTACCAGCAAATACTCTACAATTGAACTATCTATCTAAAAATTTTAGCCTATCCTGATATGAATGTTGTTTTTATCAACAAGTGTGTGTGTATTCCATTAGACTTGTCAGCATGTGAGGCACTCGTCTAGAAAAAGAGAGGAAATCCAAGGATTACTTTATCAGATTTGTGCACTCACTATGATAAATTTTAATACTATATTGGGTCAGATAAGAAAGTGATGTTGGAAGTATGAACGAAACATTTTTAAGGCCCCATGTACTAATGCTTCCAATTTATTGGGATTGGGAGATCCTTACACCCACTTCCGCACTTTTTTTAACATGTTTCCTATTATCAAAAGCATAACTAGGAGAAAATTAAGAAGCAAAAGTCAGTACATTTCTTGGGGTATCCACTTCATTTTTAAAGTTGATTCATAAAGAGGTATGGTTTAATAACAAAAAAGTAACTTTATATAACGAAACTTCTTTCAATCCCAAAACACTGATTGGTCAGCAAGCCCATACAGACTAGGGCTGCGTAAATAAAATATGCCTATATGTATTTTGTTATCAACTAATTTTGTTCTAGCAGCTCATCAGAAAGTAATGTGATGAACTAGTTTCAGCTACAAATGTTGTGTAATTTGCTCCGCGTTTCTTGTTGTTGTTTATATGTTCAAGACGGAAGAACAGACTGTCATTTCATGGAGTAGGCAGAGTAATTGATGGCCAATCAAGTCTCTTCAGAGAAAGCTTCTATATGAAGATGCCATGACCAAGTTAATTGCTCTTGTAGCATTTAGAAGATAATTAAAATGTTTAGGAACAAAAATTGAAGTTGCAGCTCCTAGGCATATATTTATGTCTTTAGCTGGTTGTTTAGATGTTCATCTGGGGACGTGTCAGACAGGCAAAGCTTTTTTTTGGGGGGGGGGGGAAGAAGAAACTTCAAATACTCAAGAACACAAAACTGCCAAGCTTTCTGCAGAAGGCTATTTATAGAAACAAAACTGTGGAGGGAGAATATGGACCAGCCTGAAAAAGGACAACGAATTGACTACACTCAATAAAGTTGGAGTATATACACTTAAAAGAGTTGTGCTTCCTGTTTGCCAAGTGTGGAATAGACATAACAATTATGGCAAATGGATTTTCAACTCTGTATTTTGCCATAGCTATGTTCTCTATTCATGTCAATGTGCAAACTTTCTGCCTCATTGATATAGTGGCTGACTAAGTATGACATTAATAGATAAAGGTGATAATACTGTATACAACTATAGGAACGGTCCTTGCATCTTGATTTCCTTAAATCACATGTTTTAGTTGATTATGTAATTTTAAGAGTCCCTTCTGATTTTTTGACTCCGAAAGTATCTGGTATGGGTGTATAATAAACTGCAAAATTTAACAAAACCTTTCGTACCGTTTCAGAAGGTATGCTCCCTCAATTCTTAGTTTAACCCAAATCTAATGGCAAAAGAAATCTGAAATTCCTTGACGTATTGTTGGAGCTACCTTCCTATAAGAGCCACTTAGTTTGATAGATTTCAACTTTTGCACCTTGCTGACATAAAATCACAAGGTAGTCTAAACAGAGATGGCAAATAGAGAATATTGCATTGAGAATTCTAGAAGAGAATGAGTCATTGTTTCAAGAGTTTAAAATTTATGGATAGTTTGCAGCCAGTACAAAGACTCGATATTTGGCAGAGATCCAAAATAACTGAGACTTCAGTAGCAAATATGTTTACTATGCATGCTGATTCCATCCCTGATAACCTCTGGATTTTACCGTTCCTTCCATGTTATAACTATATAGTTCGATCAGGCCCTAAAATAGAACTTTGTGGCATCCAAGCTTCACTCAATGAACATGAAAATTAAATCTATTACATTCCTTGATTATCCTGTTGATGGAATAAATAACACACTGGATAATCTACTTCATTCCAGTTTAGCAGCCCAACTTCCCCAAATCAAAAGAAGGCCCAAACATAGGGTATGAACATTTTTTAAGTGCCGTAGTCTACAAAGATAGATACCTTAAACCAATCATAATGAGACGTATAAACAAAGCAGACGTTTTTTTTTTTTTTGGTGGGATTCACTTCTAACTTATTCATATGTCCCTTCGTAATTGGCATGATCTATTTATTTACTAAGATAGATAAACCAAATCAATCGTAAAGAGACAAATAAAAACGCTGGACACGTTTTTGTTTTCTAACATATTTACATGTCTCTTCATAATTGACATGGTTTATTTGTTTATTGACAACTAGATTTATCTGAGAGTGTCTGTTCAAGTATATTTCTCAGTACCCAAGACATAATCTTTGTCCAATCGTTCATGTCGGCAATATAGCAACTGGATGCATGCTCTCTGATCAACTTGACCATTGTACTAGACAGGTTCTCATTTATTATGGTAAAGGATATAAGTACTTTACTGTTAGGCATGATTATAGGCCAATAATTAAGAGGGGAACTTCCTCAACCAGGTCAAGCAAACTCAAGAAAGAAAAGATCAAGTTCATTTGTTACATATGCCACCAAATCGCCAAGTAGAGAAGTGATTGGAAAATCTAACGTGATAAATAAGAAGACATAAAATTGGATATAGCTGTCTGACCTTGTCTGCCACAGCAAAGGCAGCTTGCACAGGGGTCATTCCCTGGAAGGGAAGAAGAGAGGTTGTGAGCTCCCAGAGCACAATTCCAAAACTATAAACATCAACTTTTCGAGTGTAAGGTTTTCCCTTAATCATCTCTGGTGCCATCCAACGATACGTTCCCATATTTCCTTTGCTCTCCTGACATCGTGTTTCAAGACATGATGTGCCAAAATCGGCCACCTTCACCCTCATCTCATCATTGAGAAGCAAGTTATTTGATTTTAAATCTCTGTGAATCACACCTTGTGAATGAAGGTACTCCATCCCCCTAGATATGTCAAGAGCTAGCCTTAGCACTGTTTCTGTAGATAAAGAGTAAGGCTCTTTCTTGTTCAGATACATCCTCAGATTTCCTTGCGACATGTATTCTGTTATGATACAGTACACTGGTGGTTTTTTACAAGCTGCAATAAACTGCAACATTTCAAAAAGTAGAAAATGCATTAGTCATATCCTTGTAACTTTTCAAAAAATATGAATTGACCGCATGCAAATACGAGGCGTCTCTAGTGTATCCAAAAAAGAATGTAGAATACAGGGTTGTGGTTGATGCAAAAGTCACAGAGGTAAATTTTAGCCCTACAAGTGTTATGTCCTCAAAAGTGCAAGTAAAGAAAATGAGAGAGAGAGCTGAGAATTTGACAGCAAGTAGGAGTTTGGATGAATGTTCGAGAGATGGTGCATGAATTTCAAAGTCATGTGAGAAGCAACGAATTATTAGTCTTGGACAAATATGCCCAATTCGGAATGCACCAATAGAAATACAAACATGCTCTAGTCTACTGCTCGTTTTTGGTGGGTTTATTTGTGTGTATCCCCCCCCCCGGGTCCCGCCCGGGGGGGGGGGGGAGCAAGAGCATAATGCATCAGACTCTTCAGCATGATCTTAGAAATTGAAACTGATGCTATCAGCTTATTAACATTTTGTAGTGAGACTTAATTAGTTCATAACATCCTCTACTACTCCCTCTAAACATTGCTCCCACACAAATAAGAAATATAAGCTGTTCCAAAAAGAAAAAAATTCATCAAAGTGGTCAGTAGCAACTAGTCTTTGTAGGTGATAACAAAAATACAACCACATGTTAAACAGTGATTATAGATTAGCCTAGTCCATGTATCTACTACATCTGTTCACACAAGATACAACCAGAAATACCAGATCCAAGTTGATATCAGCGTCACTATGGCACCACAAAATACGTGTTGTCCAAATGTAATTTGAAGTACGGAGGTTGATACAAGACACATGTGATGGACATGTATCAGATATGGCCCATCTCTATTTTAAAAATAAACTGCCTTTCATTACGCACTATGACTTGTTCCATAGCCTCACGTAGAAAACCAAAGATTCATGCAGAAATACAAATAAGCACCGCAGCACAAGAAGAACGAATGAGAAGGCTTCAAGACATTTATTACCTGCACTATGTTAGGATGAAAGAGACGTGAAAGTAAAGCCACTTCAGATTTGAATTGCTTCTCCAGTACGTCTCTTTTGTCCTCGTCCTGTACTGGAACCCTCACCATTTTCACAGCCACGGCTCTCTGCTTGTAAATTCCGCGGTAAATCCGGCTATAAGCACCAGAAGCGAACTTGTTTCCTATGAAGAGCTGCGAAAGATCAGCGTTCCATTCCTCTTGATGATCCTCCTTAGACGCCTCCCATGTTTCCACATTCTCAGAGTCCAATATCATAGACCACGATTCCAGACTATCAAATCTCCTCCTCTCCATTTTCTCCATGTCAGAATCCAGCCTGGTCCTCGTCGAAGAAGACGGCTCGCCAATAGGTTTACTCTTTGACCTTCGCAGGCGAAGCGCGTGGAAGCAGGAACCCGCCATTGAATGAAAAGGACTTCGAAGCTTGAAGAACAAACGAACCCTTGAATGGAACCGAATCAAAGTTGTGTTTAACGCAACGAATTAATGATCAAATATAATTTTCCTTAGGAATGTGTGGATCGATTTCAGGAAGTGCATAAACTGATTTCGAAACATGAGTATGGGTTTTCATGAAAGAATCAAACCGATAATACCCTATTATTGCGAAACAGTTATACTCGGTGTATCAAAATTGCGATGGATCAAAAACCACAGAACATGCAATAGCGACCAGAGGCTCAAACAGAGAGGTGAGGTACTGAGATTTCATTGTTGTGGCTGAGAAAGAAGGGAAGAAGACGAAGTTTTTCACGGTTTTTCTCTTTGCATGAAAGATGAGATAGGAGGATTAGGTCGATTAGGAGCAAAAAGGTGAATGTCAAAGGCAGAAAGTTCAGGAGAGTCTCGTGAACGCTCGGTTCAAAAGTTGAAAGCTCTTGATTATGGAGAGGGAAGGAGAGAGTGAAAGGCAGAGAGAGATGGTTATGGATCGACAGCTTCGGCTTGAGCTTCGTTTCTTGCATCGTCAACAACATCATTATCATCAATGGCATATGGTGGATTGATCTTTGCGCTTGCCTCATTCAGCACCAACTTTGCTCTTTTGATTTCCCATTCTCCTTCTCCCTCAGACTTTGGTATATATCCCAGTCGTTAACCGTCACGCCATACCGTTGGGACCCAGAAACGCCCGATTTCCCGAATCCACGTGGCACCCAAGACCAAACGACCAGCCAAGTGGCAGCACCGCAACTGTCGATCTCAGTGTACTTTTACATTTATTTAAGATAAAAATCATTAAATACCATTCTTTATGAGTACCTTTATAATTTTACTTTTCCAAATCAAAATATAAAGAGCATTTAATTTTTTATGATTCCAAAAGTTAGGCTCAAGGAAAAACATTACTTTTCAGTTCTATTTATAAGACATTTTCAGCATATTTCATATAGACTAGAAAAACCTTAAAATATATTTACTCTCCATTAAAATATAACAACTTTTCAATTTTACTCATATTTAATATATACACTTTCAAAAAAGATAACTACCTATACTGTAAAAAATGAAAGACAATTGAAAATTTAATGAAGTAACTTATAAATAGGACCAGAAAAAATTCTTTCTCCGCCCTATAAATAGGATTAGAGGAGTATATCATACTTTGTCACTTTGTGGTCCCCATCATTTATTCAAAATTTAGTTAATCTCATTTTAATTAAGTTGATATTTACAATACTGGTATAGATACGTAGATTGCATTACTAAATACTAATATTAAAAAGCATACAAGTATGCCTGTGGATTAAGTAGCCACCTAACATTATTTTAGTCTTTTAACATTGGGATGAGTTTAGGGTTTTCGGAATAATTTATTGTATCTATTTTCATATTTGGAAAAATTACCCAAAAATCTTATGTACGAAAATTAAATATAAATAAGCCCCTCAAATTTCATTTCATACTAACAGATCCCAATATATTTAATATCTACCAATCATACTTTCATATTTACAAATCGAACTGTGCTATTATCTCTCTCGTCATAAATATAAAATTTGGTCCTAAATATGAGATATGGTTATTAAATTTTTGTAAACTACTAGTATTAAGTGAAATATGAGACCTATTTATGTTTAGGTTTTTTCACTTGCAAGTACCTATGAGTAATTTTCCCAGGAGGAAAAAACAAAAAAAAATCTCTAACGGTGTTTTTATTTTGGTACATGACAACAGGAAGCTGAATATCTCCAATTTTAGCATCCTACTACTCTTTCAGTTCTTAATATAAAACACATTTAACTAATTTGATTATATTAAGAAAGTTAGTTAATTATAAGAAATGTGACATGTTTTTCCTAAAACACCATAATCATATTTCTTAATACCCCATCTCCTTCTTCTACTTGATTATAGTTAAAGGAGTATCCATAAAGGTAATTTAGAGAAAATTGATAAATGTAAAAAATTAGTTTTATATTTAAGACTAAACTAACTTAATAATTAGATATTATATTAAGGATCGAAAGAGTATTTTGTAACATGTGCAAGAGGTAGATGCTAGGGGGCCCCTTTATTCTGGTGCTTTGTGTGGTCTATTTTTGGGCCTCTCTTTATTCTGGTGCTGCTACTAACAAAAAAAATGACAAATGAAAAGTATTACTTTTAATTTTAAATATAAGAATTTATTTGATTTTTATTTTGATTCTAACGTGTATAATGCTGTGAGAGCATTTTAACTTGAATCAGACGAAGAACAAATAGTTTGAAAATGAAATTAAAAAGCGATATGGAAACAGCTGTAACAGGAGTTTCAGGCCCAAATAAAAACAGTAATAGGAGCCAATATAATATGGTAGGGAGTACCACCAAAGTTTTCCTAGTTCATATTATGATTGAAAATATAAAAATTAGATAATTAATTTATAAAAATTTAAAAAATAATTATGTTAACTATTTGCAAAAATTTTAATTTTTCTAAAATATTTTTTAATACATGCTGCTATGCTAATAGGAAGAGTTTAAAAAAAATGTTAATATAATATTTGGTATGCAAAATTTGTCTTCATTTTACTTTCAATTCTTATAGTTTCAGATCATTTGTTTTTAGTCTCTAAGTTTTTCTATATAAAATGTTATTTTAATAAGAATAAGGACTATTTTGTCTCTTGAGAAATTAGACTTATGATTTGAAACTGTAAATATCAAAACAAAATAAAGGCAAATTATGAGAACCAATTATTGTGTTAACTTAAAAAATTATAAACTTAGAAGACAAAATAAATTAATATCTTATATTTAAAATAAAAACAAATTGCTTTATCAGCCCTTATGTTAGGGACCGTGTTTGTTGATTTAACTAGTTCTTAGATTTATTTAAGAGTTAATATAATTCTTAGTCCTTTCAGTTTTTTTTTGTTTTAATTTGTTAAGTTTTAAATTATAGGTTTTGTTTTTTTAAGTTTCATTTCATTTAAAATATTAGTCATTATAATCCAATAAAAATTTGAACTATTTTGCCTTTTGAGGAATAAAAACTTATAATTTGAAACTTAAGGGATCAAACTAAAATAAAAATAAATTTAAAAGACTAAATATTATATTAACTTTTTATCTAATCAAAACTATGTTTTAATGACTCCTCCCATGAAAAAGGATAGACACGTGCTAATTGAGATCCACGACGCTTAATTCTTCGTCCAGTGTTTGACGCGCAACGTTATTTTGGTCTAAGGCTGAGAGGTAAAATATTGCTACCTCTATTTTAGAAATTAAATTTGGCTCCAGATATAAAAATTTAATTAATTTATTTTTAAAAAAAGTAATCTTTATAATAGCTGTATTTTAATGCACTTGATTAACAAGAGTGCTTTAAAAAATATAATACTTATTTATTATAAATAATAACTAATTTAATTAATTTTTTAATATTTATAAATTAGTTATTTACTTTGAGATGGGCACAGTACATGCTAAACATGATAGATATAGCTGGCCCTAGTGTTTTTGGAAACCCGTTAAAATTGGTTAAAATTGTCACCTTGCTGTCTTTATTCACCCGTTCATGTTAATGTATTTATTAAGAATGTGACTTGTATACTCCTTCCGTCTCTTATTATAAAATTTAATTTTTTAAATGGATTTGTTTTTTTTATAAGATCTTTTTTGAGTTTGTTTGAGCATTTAATGTATTATTACTTGTTTTACTCCTAATTTAATATATTCTCTTTTTTTTTTATTTTTCTCACCATTACTTTCTCACATTTACCCATTTATATATAAGGGTATATTTGACAAAAAAATTGTATTTGTTACATATCAATTGCTTTTAACTAATTTTAACTGTTTTCTTAAACCGTAAAATTTAGTTAAAAAAATCTTATAATAAGAGACAAGAAGAGTATTTCATAAGGGTATAAATTTGAATTCTTTTTTTTTGGTCAAAAAATTCTTTGTTAATGTAAGAAAGAATCTTGCTGATAAGTAATTTACCTGTACTCCTATATCCAGAACACTACTCAAGTCATTGTTTGTTGTAAGGGAAACAGAGAAGAGGGGAGGAGAAGAAAAATTTTAATAAATTTTATTTTAAAAAATTAGAAGTGGGATTTTAAAATTTTAATTAAAGAAAAAAATAATACAAAAGAGTAATAAAAATAATTTAAAATTTTTAATTCCACTTTTTTAATTGTTTAAACTGAGTTCATTAAAATTTTTCTTTTATTTTTTATTTTTTTCATTTTCCTCATAACAAGCGGACCTTAAATGATAATACTCTTCTGATCCTAAATATAAGACTCTTATACTAAAATATAGAGGTCTCATATATTAGGACCGATGAAGTACTTGTTATGGCCCTATTTAACCCCTAGATCCGTGTTCATGTGAAATTTCCCCCAAAAAAGTTGGATGTCTGTTTAAAGTATCATCAAACAAATATAAAGAAAATAAATCAAAACCCAGTTTCATTTTGTTTTGTTCTAAATAAATTGTATTCCTCTCACTTAAAGTATCATCATTGAATGTCATAAATACTTGCAAATGCATACTACCCTCCGCTTCTTAATATAAGACCTCGTTTGATTTTTATTTTGCTTCTAAATATAAAACCTCAATCTATTTTGTCTCTAATATTTGTATATTTTTTCCAAGATCGTTCTTTTAATAATGATAGTTTTAGCCAACACACTTGATTAGTAAGGATATTTTAAAAAAGACAATACTTATTTATTACAAATAACTAATTTAACTTATTTTCTTAATTTTCTCAAATTAGTCAACTGGCTCTTATACTTATGACCGGAGGTAGTATTAAATGAGAATCAAAATTAAACACTTTGATTTTGACCAAATCATTAAAAAATAACTGTAACTAAAATGCAAATTCCATTGTTTTTGTGTAATATTATGGCAAAAAATATACTCATCTAATCCTATTTTTAAACTACTTCTAACATATTTCACATAAATCGAGAAAAACTTTAAACTTTATTAACTCTCATGTAAAATTCAATAACTTTTGACTTTATTTATATTTAATATACATTATATCTTATATAAACAAAATCAATAAAATAATAAATAAAAGGTAAAATTGTACATTCATATAAAATTTTTTTCTCATTAACCTATAAATAAAAATAAAAAATATCTTCTCTCTATCCTATAAATAAGACTAGATGTGTACTTTATATATAGTTTGGGGCAAACAGCTTTATTATTTATAGTTGACAAGCAACGCAACTAAT